TATGTATTATCTATGCATTCTACGAGCTTTCTTTCAACAAATTGTGGAATAGCTATAAACGGTAATACTTATCAAAGATCGAAGGACGAAGATCAAACTGAGAGAAAACTAGTCGAGTGATCTGTCTGATATTGACCAAAGAATATCACTTGGGATTTTATTGTACTTTTATGGAAGGATAAATCAGAGAGGACATCTATGGAAACTACATTCTTCATGACTGTATTTAAACATGTATTTATCAAAGCAGAATATTTTGAAACAACTGGTTTCCGTATGTATGTAGTTTAAAATACAGTTGTGAATGAAATTATACACAGTATCTTGAAACCTTTGTGTGTGTGAGTTAATTTCATATTTATTTTTTGGGATGTTATTTAGGATGTATCATCTATATTTCTGTTTGCCTGGAAGAGGGGGGGGGGTACCAATCCTGAATCATGAGAAATAATATACAGTGATCTTGAAACAACAAATTTACTATGAATCTTATATCAGTGATATGTGACTTAGGAGTCTTAAAGGCAAATAACAGTCTGTATACTGGGTGTGCGTTCACCTATTTGTTTACATTTGCAGTTACTGTACATCGGTTCATGATTTATGAAATTTGAACCAAAGCTGTAACATAATATTAGTCACGGCACAAGTCACTAATAATTTTAGGGTAAATATTTTTCTGAAATACTTCATTTGTCAGTTGCATCTTATAGTATATACTGTAATAATATCTTGAAAAAAAGCTGTAATTGTACCCTGTCTATTAAATAGCTTTGGTTTAATACAATTGGCAACTGGGCTGTCTTAGAATTCATGAAAGGCCTTTGCTACAACCCCAAGAAAACATGCCTTTTATCAGAAGATCAATTAAATTCTCTGCTTCAACCAGATTAACCACACAAATGTTATTGTCACCATTGTGACTACCTACACTTTTTACAAATAATACACCGATATTTTTTCTGTGTTGGTGTTGTGTACTCAGGTGAATATTATACACTCAGAGTAACATCACAAATATAATATAATACACCGATAGTTGAGCACCGAGACTCTGACTGACATATCATGATACTTTGTTTTCAAATATCTTTGGCTTTGGTTAAAAACCAACAATTATACATTCTTAAACATTTTAAATACTTCAGCCTACATAATTTCCATGATGGTCAATTCTTCAACTTATGACAATAATATAATTACTTCTTTACGATAAAAATTCTTTTGGGTTTAATTGAAGTATTATTCACAGCTGGTCTAAAAAATTGGGTGTTTTGATGCATCATACTTTTGTCAGTAAAATTAAAAACCTATTTAGTCCTATCCGGCTATGCAGAGTTTTATTCGTATTGAGGAGGTAGGGCTTAGAGAGACACAGAGGCTTAATGAATATGGTTACACTGAATTTTATCAGTAAGTAAATTTCATTTTTTACATCCTGAAACCAAAAATCACCATATTATGCATGAATTACATATCACTTTCACTTGTCACAGAGTGAACATACCAAATTCAAACAACATTCACACAGTTTCTAGATGAAATAATCAACCGATATTTTGGGCCAACAATATAATTCACGAGGGGAAAAAATAAATATTTATATGTGCGCACATAGTTTCAAGATCAGCTAACGGGATTGAAACCAGCTTTTCCAGTTATGCTTGGAGCTGATGAGAACAGTTAGTTTTGAACACAAAATGGCATGGAACTTAATTCATCTAGGTGGCAATATATTGCCTTCTCACCAGCACAATTGATCAAGTCATACACATTCATTACTGCCAATCTCTATTATTTATGTCTCATTACAAATACAATATATTTTTTATCATTATCAGCAGTATCATTACAACTTGTGCATCACCAATATCATCACAACTTGTATTTCACTACCATCATCATCATTATTCTCACCATTCTAATTTTATTAGTCAATCAGAATGAATAAAAAAATTCCTATTTTACACCACTCATATATTACTTAATTGCCCAAGGTCAGGGCCATTTCACATCACTCCAGGATCTGAATACCCTGCAATCACCTTTTCGATATAATACTAAAAGAGAAACAAACGACAAATGTCTTACTGGCACACTGGAATGTCATAATTGCCATAAAATAACTGTCTTTGAAACCACATTCTGCCGTAACAGCACAACTGCTCAAGGTTGCAAGGTAAATAATAGGGATGTAGTAAGGCCAGTATTACGGGTAATTGTCTTTTTACATTTTGCTCACAACCAAAGTCCAATTATATGGAGCAAAAGTTAGAATATCCAGCCACTTTTTATTACTCACTTAATCTTACACTTGACAAGTAAAATTGTCTGGTGTTGGACAGAGAAAAATAACAAAGTATGCCATATTTGATTATCCCATATTCCCATTACTGTAGTGTGACCACACAAGACTCTCCCTTGGATGGGTAAAATTGGGGGCTATGGAGATTTAATGGCAAGAAGTGGGGGAAACATTTTCTCCAGTAAAATTTATGGGGGCCATTGGAAATTTATGGGGGCCATTGGAATTTTATGGGGGCCATTGGAATCATCAACCAGAGTATTGAGGCAATAAAGAAAAGAATACCTGACTGTAAAATTAATGTAATCTAACTTTCTTGTCACACAAAGTTAGGTAACGTTGGCATTTTCACACTTTTCTATTATTATCGTACTATTCTGTTAAGTATTTATTGGATGAGTCAGAGACCAATGGATGGGTATGAGGGCAGTTAATTTGTAATTTTTGCATGTATTCATTTATTAACTTTTGACTACTGTAATGGTCAGCCAGTTAAATAAGTATTTTACTGAGGGTACTGCCTAACTATTTTACATGTCAAAGAGAACTCCAGTTATGAAAGATTGAATATTTTCTGAGCAAGCTGGAACAGAAAATTTTGATTTTAGTGAACTAAGTGAAGGATGGAGATAACCAAAAAATATATCCGGCATGAAGGAGGGTTTATTAAATATATCCAAAAGCGGAGATGAAGGAGTAATTAAATGAAGAAAACTAATTATACAAACAGACACGAATCTGCTGGAATTTAGGATATATAAACTGATAAATATTAAAAGATATGAGAATATATTAATTTTATATTGCATCATAAAATCGTTTACCTCGAATATACTGCATTCTTTATAGCATACTGTAATTCAAAATCCATGTGACTTCAAAGTTTATAATTTCCATCAAAATAAAAACAAGCCTAAAATCTGCTGTCTGTTGTTTTAAAATATGAATTTTCAAACAATTGTTATACATTCATATTTTAGAAATCAAAGGCAAAATCATTTGTATTTGAAACTTTTATAGTTCGTGCATTGCAATGTTCAGTTGTTCGTCCCCCCCGGGATAACATGACCTAAATAAGGCCAGGTTACAAAAATGTCCAATATTTTTGGACACACGTGACCAGTGTTTACCAGGGCCTTTGCTTCCCGTACCAGAGCCTCTGAACCGCGCAAAGGCCCTGGGTACGAGGTTGCATCGCACCAAACCTAAAGGCCGTTTTTCACTAGGTGAAATTTTCCGCGCGGAGCGGAATTTCTCTTTGTTTTTTTCTAAAGCTGGTTTTCCACTAGGCGGAATTTTGCGCACGGAGCGGAATTTCTCTTTGTCTTTTCTAAAGCCGGTTTTCCACTAGGCGGAATTTTACGCGCGGAGTGGAATTTTTCGTTATCTTTTCTAATTAAGCCTGATTTCCACTAGGCGGAATTTTGCGCGCGCAGCGGAAATTTTCTTTGTCTTTTCTAATTAGTTCCACCTGAGAAATCGCAAGACAAAGAAAGATTCCGCTCCGCGCGCAAAATTCCGCCTAGTGGAAATCAGGCTTTAGTTCCACCCGAGAAATCATAAAGCCGGTTTTCCACTAGGCGGAATTTTGCGCGCGGAGTGGAATTTTTCTTTGTCTTGTGATTTCTCGGGTGGAACTAATTAGAAAAGACAAAGAAAAATTCCGCTCCGCGCGCAAAATTCCGCCTAGTAGAAAACGGCCTTAAAAGAATCTTTTCGACCCAATAATGAAACAGGTTAAACATACAACCTGAGAAATAGTGAAACTGATTGACCACTTCCTAATCCCTGGGTGCCACTGAAGGCAGAGTCCATAACAAACAACTGAGGTGTGAACGATATGCGACTATCTGAAAAATATGACCAAAAGTTCGGCGATTCGAACGAATTAGACCCTTCCCGACAAAAGGCATTCGTTCGAAACGTCTAAGTTCAGTGACGTAACCAGCCCAACGATTTAGTCCTGCTACGCAAACAGGGCCGCAGAGAGGTTGGCGGGGGCCCGGGGCAAATTTTTTTGGGGGGGCCCCTTTCCAAAAAAATTTTTCCGGTAAAAATTTTAGGGGTGAAAAAATTTTTCCGGAGTAAAAATTTTCCGGACGAGTATGTTGAAGATACTTTCCAGGGACTTTATCTCATTTTTCTATGCCTCATTTCGGTACTTAGCCAAATAAGACAGAGATCTTGTCCTTTGCGAGCAAATATTTAACACACAAAAAAGACTGGGGCCCAACTAACATTTTTCAGGGGCCCCAGCACTTCGGGGCAATTTGCTCCCCCCTGCCCCCCCCCTCTCGGCGGCCCTGTATGCAAATTTTAACACATCATTATTCATTTCTTTTGAAAGGAATAACGTTCGCATTGGTATCTATGGGGCCTATCCAGGGTTTTGCTGAAGGTTTAGGATTGTGAGGGTTAAACGTCTTCTGATTCAGTCAGCTTCCGAAATTAGAAGTGGTACTGCGGGTCGCAATGTGAAAAGTTGAATCTGATAGTTCGTTAGTAATTGATTTTTTCTATGTACGTATATCAGTGTATTTGTCTAACATTTAGGGATCGCAGTAATTGGCGCAAGCTGTTGCGATTGCCCTGCCAGTTTTTGTGTTACCGTATTTACTCGTTTGAGCGCCGCGGCGCTCTTTAAATTTTCAGAGCTTCAGATGCGGCGCTCATTCGGGGGCGGCGCTCAATCGGGGGCGGCGCTCGTTAAAAAATCTTTTATTTGTGAACTATAAAAAGCACTTTTAACAATAAAATAAACAAGTTTTAAAAGGATTTTGTCGCTAAATGTCCCCATTTTGACGGCGGAAAGTTTTTACACTGTTTAGTGCGGCGCTCATTCGGGGGCGGCGCTCTTTAAAAAAAATTGATCTCAAATGCGGCGCTCATTCGGGGGCGGCGCTCAATCGGGGGCGGCGCTCAATCGAGTAAATACGGTAATTGTTTGAATCTGGCAAAGTTAATAAATTAAATTAAATTTATTGTGTTGATAGTTTATAAACATGGCAATATTTGCATAGCGGGACTAGATCGTCGGGCTGGCTACGCCACTGTCGAAGTTCTGCTTATATTTTTTAGCCGAGCGGTCGCATATCCACACCTCAGTTTTAAATAGCACTTCCATTCCAAAAATAAATGTGATTCATGTTTCGCTCGCTACTCTGGTTTAAATAAATGATTACAAATGTCACACCAAACACGAGATTGCGTGGGAAAACTCTAAAGTAATTACCACAAACAATCGCTATGGTCAAAGACTTCGCCTAGAAGCGTGGCATATAAATATGAGTCATCATGCCTTGAATAGGGATGACGGCGCCCATTTGCCAGAAGAATATATGCATCTTCTTGGCAGGTGACGTCATCCCTTGGGTATTTAAGAAGCCACGATCGCAGTTTTAGATCACCCCTGATGAAGACACTAGACTGGAGTGTCGAAACGTTGGGTCTTGATTATAATTCGACTGAGCTTTGTAATCATTTATTTAAACCAGAGTAGCGAGCGAAACATGATTGATATACCTGGTTGCAGTGAACGAACAAACTTTATATAAATGTGATTATTTGAATAAATACTAAACACTCATATTTTTATCTTTTCATCTAATCGTTTTCCGACTTTGTACCTTTCTGCTCGCTGTCGGTGTAAAAGTCTTCCACAAGTTTTGCCATGAATGGAAAAGGTTCACTCGGTCGTTGGAAAGCAGTATGGGCTATTAAATCCTGGAAAAAGATATTAAGAGATTAAAACTTTATGCATGCATGGGTAGTTTGGGGTCTGCTAGTATCTTCACGGCTAAAAATTATAGTATTGTTTCAAGAAACTGTACCATCCTTTCCAAGAGTTTGACACGCGCTAACAGTAGAAGTTCCGCTAATCGCTATTCGAAAAGCAGAAAATGTATGGTCAAACAAACTTTTAGGGTGGTGCTGGAATTCTCTAGGGGTGGGGGGGGGGTGCACACCCCCTACGGTAGATCCACCCATGATTTCATGAAATGCGAACGCACAGCAAACATACATATGGCAGTAAAGATAAACTAAGCTTCGTGAGATATCATTTCGCTTCGCCATGTCGAAAATGTTCCCTCCGTTGAACTGTAGTTCTCGATGAGGTTCTCGACACAATCACTCTTTTTGGTTTATAAGTTTTATTAAAATATCCACAAATAAAAATAACGTATTAAAAGGTAAAATTCTCACAAATCACGATACACGATCCCAAATTAGCGCACGGGCTCTACAAATCACACTTGTCACTGTTCAAACTGACTTCACTCTGTCTCACACTAAGATTCACTTCACACTAACTCTCTGTACCTGTTACGCCTAACTTAAGTGTTTGAAACTCTATCCTCTAATCCATTATAAGGCTAGGTCATATGCACTAATTGCTGCGGAGCGAGCGAGCCTGAAGCGAGCGAGCGTAGCAGCAGTCTAATACAGTGTGCAGAGAGGGGGTTTGGAACTAAATTTTATTAAGCGCATGGAATTGTGGTCGTGCGCGATTTCTATGCGCAGAACACACATTTTAAACTCGCTCGAGTCTTCGAATTTTTATCGAATTTCTAAAGCTTTTTCATGTCTAATGTTACGCTTAGATTTGTTTTGGACTTTGGCCACTGTCAGTTCTATATTTTTATAAAGTTTTGGTTTCTTAGTGTGATAAATCTGTGTATATAGTCTATATAATGTGGTAAAGGCGCCTAGCAGTAAACAGACTTGATATGAAATCTGATCTTAATTTACCTGTATGTCAATGAGACGCACATGTTTAGTATCAATCAGAGGATTGCCCTTTAACCTCTGGTCTTTGCTACTTCAATATACAGGGTGTCCCAAAAAAAACGAAAACTATTGAAATCACTTATTGTTAAATTTCAATGCCCTACCAAGCAGCTGGACGTAATGATGCGTAAAATATTGACAAGGTGCATTTATTAGAATTTAGTTAGGAATATCTCCTGGTAAAGTGCGCGATTTTCTGCTCCTGGACCTGGGAAATAAAAACAGCTTCTTTATGCATAAAATTTACTTATGTCAATCATTTATTCTAACAATTAAATTGTTATTGGTGATTTCAATAATTTTCGTTTTTTTTGGGACAGCCTGTATATTGCTTCTTCGCATTTCCATTCACAGCTCACTATAGTTGCTGCGAGTAATCACTGTGCTTGATATAATTTGTGCTGTTTATTGTCGTTCTATATTTGCTTTTAATGCCCGCAGCAATCTCTACCTTGCAGGTACCCTAGTTATTAAACTATGAAAAATATGTTGTAAAATGGCTTATCTGTTCTGTCAGTCCCGACAGCCAGACACAAAGAAAAAAGTGAAGAAATTTGCATAACAATGTGCTGATAATGTATGGAATTTCGATCTATGAGTGTTTAAGTCCTTAGACAATTCGTGTTCACTGGCTGAAGAGGCCGGCAAGAGTCTGTAATACTGTATTCTGTCACGTAAGTCGCAAGCAAATACAGGATTGTAAAATGAGCAGAGACGACACTCTCTCGCACTATGGGAAGGTAATGCAGCTTTCGCCGGAGACAACCAATGAAGAGATACGTGAACTTTACTCTGTGTGGAGTCATACCTACGATAAAGTAAGGCCAGTTTCATACGTCGCACTATCGTCAATTTAATTCAGACGAATTTAATTGAACGAATTAAATGTGACGGTAAATTCGTCTGGTGATCGAATTAAGTTCGTCCAAGACGTTTTACGGATACAACGTTTGTAGCGCGTCAGTTCGTTTCATACGACGTCTTATCGTCGTGTCGAATTAAATGCATAAATTATGTTAAAGTCTGTTTCTCTCTTTCTGGTCTCGTGGTTTTTACTTCTGGGTAATCCACGATCGTTATTCATATGAAATGAATTCTGAATTAAATTCGTCGTTTGAAACGAAACCATTTTAATGTCGACCAATGACGAATTTAATAACGAATTAAATTCGTCTGAATTAAATTCGACGTATATGACATGGCGTAAGTGCCTCAATGAACACATATTTGAAGCAAGAATATTTTTCTAAGCTCCCTCACAACAGCCAACACCGCTCTGGTCTCCCTCGAAGCCGCTCTTGTGCTGCGCGTGTAAAAATCTCACAACTTGTCAACAAGATGTGTTCGCAACAAGCGTGTAGCAAGCTTGCCAACAAGTTGTAGCAATGCTGTTATTTTATCAAGTTGCTACAAGGTCTGTTGACAAATTGTTGAATTACAGGACAATAACAAGTTGTTGGAACAACTTGTAACAAGTCTGTTGGGTTCAACAACCACCTTGTAGCAACTTGTCAACAAGCTGGGAACAAGCAGTGCGAACACACCCTGTTAACAAGTTGGAATAGCATTGCTACGAGTCTGCTGCATGCAAGTTTGTTGCAACGTTGCAACAGTGTTTCTACGTGTGTAGTTGGGGAGGAGCGACACAAAGGGCGGTCACGAGGGAGACTAAATCTGTTCTAAACTAAAGAAGGTATCGAAACGGAAGCCTGAAGGGCTAAAGGTTCTTGTCAAGCTCAGCTAAGGGTTCTTGTCAAGGATACTCATCAGCCTAGTTCCTAGTCGTTCTGCAGGGGCAACGAAAAACGAAACCGTCGATCGATAAAACTAGCTTAGGTATGACGTCAGTTAGTTGTGACGTCACCTTCCCCACAGCTACCCCTCTCCCACCACAATTACCCCTTCGTACCCCTATAAACCAAGCATAGCAAGCGCGCGAGAGAGCCTATGGCTAGGCTGGATACTCATCACAGAAACTTCAAGAGTCAATCATCCTTTACAATAATTCAACTTGATTTTAATTTAAGGACGCGTTGGAAGGTTTAGAATATGTCGCACCTATGATTGCAGCAGAGAAACTGTCCAAGACTCTTGAAGAATCAGGATATGGTAAAGATGCCACCATCTTAGATCTTGGCTGTGGCACCGGAGTAGTTGGAGAAGAATTATACAAAAGTGGCTATAGGGCCATTGATGGTCTGGACGTCTGCCCAGAAATACTCGAAATAGCTAAGACAAAGGGTGTTTATAGAACGTTAAGCCATGGTGCAATGGGTTCTGATGGATGCGAAGACCTTGGTATGAGTCCGAACCAGTATGATGCAACAATATGCATTGGTGTGTTTGCTGTGGGTCATGTAAAAGGAAAAGGGTTTGATGATCTTCTTTATGTTCTGAAGCCTGGAGGATTAGCTTGTTTCACGATCAGGGATTGCATCGCTAACGACCCATGTTACGGATATCAGGAAAAAATGAAGGAACTTTCTGACGAAGGAAAATGGAAATTGGTTGTGAAAAGTTATGAAAAATATAATAATGATGACCCAATGGCTTGGTTGTATATATACCAGAAACTATAGATTTAGTTAAATGGTACTATTCAGATTGAAACATTATTCCAATTTTAATACCTACTTGATCTATATTTATTACTAGCAGTTGACAATTATATAAACAGCCTTTTCCACATTTTTTGTATTGTATTTTTCACCAAAAGTGATGAATTGTATGTTTTGGAAACGTTAGCATAGGTGTCAAGGGGCGGTCCGGCTCCCCTTCCCCGCCTGGTGTAAATAGGAGCAACATTTGACATTTGATATAGTTAATATTAAGTTCTATTTAATACAGGTAGTTGTATCCCTATCCATTGAACTGATCCTTGTCAATCCGCAGCTTTCTTCACTGTACTTGCGAAAAATTTCGCGACACAAAGACGATATTGGCACACAAAGAGAAAAGTTAATAAATTTGCATAACAATGTGTATTTTTACATTGTACTGGTAAATGTATCGAATTTCGTATGGGTGAGCATTTAAATAATTGAACTTTGTCCTTTGTGTAAGAGTCTGTATAAACACTGTATTGTAGACTATAAGTTTATGTAAGTTGCAAGCAGATACATGATTTAAAAATGAGCAGAAACGACACTCTCTCGCACTATGAGAAGGTAATGCAGCTCTCGCCGGACACAACCAACGAAGAGATATGTGAACTTTACTCTACGTGGGGTCATACCTACGATAAAGTAAGTGCATAAAGGAACGCTTTAATATTTAAAGCAAGGATATTTCATAAGCTTCCTCAACAGCCAACTCCGCTGTAAATAAAGTATTTCCTAAATCGTATAATAAAGTTGGCCAGTCGAATACGTCGAAACGGAAGCTTGGAGGGTCCTACAGTATATAGATTGATTGATTTATTTGCCAAAAAAAAAATAAAAATGAAAGACTGTTAGCTATTTACAAGATATTAATAAAATAAAGTCGGCGAGGAGACCTCAAGAAGCTTAGAGCTTGTGTAAAGAGGCCACCTCATCTCAAAAATTCAAAGTTAAATATTTAATTAATCGGTATAATTTAGGGTTACAGACATATAATATGAAATTGAAATTAAATTACAGACACATATAATGAAACTGAAACATAATGAAGTTTATAATAAGAGAGAAAATTTACAAAAATATATAATAGATTTTCCAATAATTTTATATATTGTTACTGAATATTCGATAAACATGGTCGTAGCATATTGATCAGAGTTAGCTGTTCCTCATTCGTTAAGCAGAAAATTACGAAGTTGCATCTTGAAAGACGAGATTGTGTTTATCGCAGTTATATTTGTAGGTAAAGAATTCCAAATATTCGGTCCTGAGTATAAGATGGTGAACTGCTTAATATTAGTTCGACAAGCATGAGATCTATAGTTACCGGCAGATCTGGTGTTATAACCATGTATTTGATTGTTTATTGTAAACAGATTATCAAAGCATGTTGGCAACATGCAATGATGATATAAAAACATAAACTTGCCAATGTGAAATGTATTTAGCTTAAATATATCCAATATTTTGAGTTGTTTAAAAAGTGGATCAGATTGTGCACGGTATTCGGAATTTGTAAGAGTACGTACAGCTCGTTTTTGTAAAAGGAGAATTCTATTGAGGTTGGTTACATAAGTGGAAGACCATACAATATTACAATAAGTAAGATAGGGATATATAAGTGTGTAGTACAAGGATAATCTTGTTGCGGATGACAGTAGATATCGTGATCGGTAAATAATTCCAACAGACTTGGCGATTTTATTGCAAATATAATTAATATGTTCCTTCCATGACAAATGTTCGTCTATATATACTCCTAAAAATTTTATGTATTGTTTTTGGGTGATCATTTGATTGTTATATTGGATAACTAGATTTAAATTAATTTTCTTTTGTCTCGGCCGAAAAATGATATAGTTTGTTTTACTGATGTTCACAGACAATTTATTTGACTTCATCCAAATATCCAGCTTTCGAAGTTCACTGTTCAAAACAAATTCAAGTTGCTTGATACCCGAATTTGAATAATATATACTAGTGTCATCAGCAAAAAGATAAGATTTTGACAGTTCTAATGCATTCGGTAGATCAATGATATATAAAATAAAAAATAATGGGCCTAAAATAGAACCTTGCGGAACTCCACATTTTAATTTTTCCATGGAGGAACAGGTTTCATTATATTGAACAAATTGTTCACGATTGCAGAAATAGCTCTTGATCCATTGGAGCGCCTCTTATACCATAATGTTGTAATTTAGTAAATAATATTTCATGATCTAAAGTATCAAAAGCCTTTGAAAGATCAATGAACACTCCAGCAGCTATCTGGTTCTGATCAATGGCCGTGGCAACGTTATTTATTAGAGAAACAAGTGAATGCATAGTAGCGTGGTTACTGCGAAAACCAAACTGAAATCTATACAAAATTTCACATTGCTCAATGAATGATGTTAACCTGATTTGCATAACTTTTTCAAATAACTTTGAAAAGTTTGTCAGGAGTGATATAGGTTTATAGTTTGTAAAGAAACTTTGATTTCCAGTTTTAAAAATTGGTATAATTTTAGCGATCTTTAGTTTACTTGGAAAGACCCCTTTGGATAAAGAAAGATTTATAATATGAACAAGAGGTTGTACTATTAGGTCAATAGATTTTTTGATTACATACATGGATAGATTATCATAACCAGGAGCTTTAGCTGTTTTAAAAGAGTTACAGATTTCTAAAAGCTCAATTACATTTGTTGGATGAAGTGAAATAGATTCTTCGCTATTTGAATTTAGGAAAGAAAGAAAAGAGTTTGAAGTCTCAGGAATCTTACTTGCAAGATCAGGACCAATGTTAGCGAAATATTTGCAAAACCTGTTAGCAATGTCTTTAGGATCAGAGAGAAGGGTGTTATTTGATATAAACGAGGAAGGCAGTAAGGTTTTTGTTCTACGTTTATTAATTACTTCGTTTATTAGCTTCCAAGTTGTTTTGTGATCGTTTTTTGCAGTTTCAAATTTATTCTCATAATAACGCGCGTGTTAGAAAATAGAAATAACTTGAAAATTGCGCAAGTCCAAACAAAGGACGTCACGATCAGCCTGCTTTGCGCGCGCACTGTTTGCCCGCGATTCGGGCCTTTCAGAACCGGAAATCGGGCTGGATCTTTTGATTCGGCAAAATTCGCACCAATCGTACGGTACCCGTTTGCAAAAACAACTGCAAACTGCTCTAATTCTTTCTGACACTTTCATTTGATCTCATTTTGATTTGCAGTTGTTCCTGGTTAAGTCTAAAATACTAAATGTATAAAATTTACACTCAAGATTTTCATCAACTAATATTAGTTCAATCGAGTAAGGTACTGCGGATTCAGGTAGACCGTGAAATGCGAATAGTTGTCGCGTTAGTTTTAACAGTTGTACGATGACGTTTCTAGGCAGATTTTCGACGTTTCTAAGGCGTGGCTTCAACGTTTATTTTTAAAATTTGAACGTTGTAATTACAAGGTAATTGCTAAATAGTATACTTCAAAATAAGGTTTACGTTTTTATAACGTAGAAAAAATATCCTAACGCAAAACTAAACCCTAACCTAACCCTAACTTATTTAAAAAATTGATATAAAAACGGAAACCTTATTTTGAAGTATACTATCTGGCAATTACCTTGCAATTACAACGTTCAATTTTTAAAAATAAACGTTGAAGCCACGCCTTAGAAACGTCGAAAATCTGCCTAGAAACGTCATCGTACAACTGTTAAAACTAACGCGACAACTATTCGCATTTCACGGTCTACCTGAATCCGCAGTATATGCCCAAAAAATCTTGATATTTACACAATTAATAGCAAGGATTTCGTTCTACATACAGAAAAGTCATTGAGGTTATGAAGTAATATTTCAAATTGACTATGAGGACTGGATTAGATTTGTTGTCCGCGCAATTTTATCAAGTCCGAGGCAAAGCCGAGGCCAGGATCAAAATGCGAGGTCTTGAAATCTAGTCCAGTCCGAATACACGCTTCCGGAAAGTACGTCACTTTGGCTATAGAGCCTCGTTTTCGTGATTGAAACGTGAGCTTCACAGATACACGAAAACGAAGCTCTATAGCCAAAGTGACGTACTTTCCGGAAGCGTGTATTTATTCGAAATGATTTCTCATATGAATAAACAGGGTTCGTAGTCTCCAAGACCAAAACAATTCAAAGACTTTCAATGCTTTTTCCTGCCTATTTTCAAAGACTTTTCAAAGACCTTTGAGAGCAATCAGCTGTCGAAAAATCGCGAGTGTAAGCACCATTTTTACCCGGTAATTAGTCCGGTCACATCACATCCTAAAATCCATCTTTTCGTCGATATTTGCGAAAACCTTGCTTCAATCAATCTATTTTATTACCTAGGAAATCGTATAATCAAATACTCACTAAAGAATTTAAAGACTTTTAAAGACTTTCTTCGCTTTTTCACACAATTCAAAGACTTTTCAAAGACCTTAAAGACCTGAATTCAAATTTAAAGACTTTCAAGGATTTCAAAGACCGCTACGAACCCTGATAAATCACTACTAAAAATGAGGTGAATTAATTTTGATCCAGTCCTAGGACTGGATCAATACCAGGTATCCAGTATTATCATATGAGCAAAACAAAGTAATATGGTTGGCTAATTTACTCATGAATTATTAATGAATAATGAGTCTGAGATTGTGTAGGATATACTTTAGAGATTCTGCGAATAAGCTATGAATGTTTCTTTGAATCAATTAAGTTCAGTTTGAATGAATAATCTTCTCCATATTTTCTAAAAAGGGTTCTTGCCAAGGATACTTATCACAGAAACGTCAAGAGTTACCATCCTTTACAATAATTTCTTGATTTTAATTTAAGGAAACATTGGAAGGCTTAGAATATGTCGCACATATAATTGCAGCAGAGAAACTGTCCAAGACCCTTGAAGAATCAGGATATGGTAAAGATGCCACCATCTTAGATCTTGGCTGTGGTACCGGAGTAGTTGGAGAAGAATTATACAAAAGTGGCTATAGGGCCATTGATGGTCTGGACAACTGCCCAGAAATGCTTGAAACAGCTAAGGCAAAGGGAGTTTATGGAAAGTTAAGCCAAGGTGCAATGGATTCTGATGGTTGCAAAAACCTTGGTATAAGTCCGAACCAGTATGATGCATCAATATGCATTGGTGTGTTTGTTGTGGGTCATGTAAAAGGAAAAGGGTTTGATGATCTTCTTTATGTTCTGAAGCCTGGAGGATTAGCTTGTTTCACGATCAGGGATTGCATCGCTAACGACCCATGTTACGGATATCAGGAAAAAATGAAGGAACTTTCTGACGAAGGAAAATGGAAATTGGTTGTGAAAAGTTATGAAAGATATCATAAACATGACGCAATGGCTTGGCTGTATATATACCAGAAATTATAGATTTAGTTAATTGATACTGTTCAGAATGAAACATAGTTGAAATTTTCAATTAAATTGTTATCTATATTACATTTTTAACACCTACTTTATCTATATTTGTTACTAGCAGTTAGCAGTTCACATTTTTTATATTGTATGTTTCATCAATGGTGATGCACCGTTTCGAGCGAAGGCCCTTTGTCGGAAAGCTACTAACTTGAAATTCTGCCAGGGCCTCTTTTAACATCTAGACTGGGGGGGGGGGGATGTCCCCCCAGCCCTCTTACTGACCCCTCCAGTTAGCAATTTTGTCTCCCCCCCATTGAGGTCCCTAACAACTACCTGCAGTAGGTGGTCAACCAGCAATTATGTATCAAAGTGAGAAAATGATGTTAAGATGTTAACATTTCAAAATTTGACCATCATCTGCAGGCCCGTAACCAGCTATGAGTCAACCGAGTCAGTTCACTCGGTAGGCCAGAATTTGGGGACTGAAATTCAAACATCGCCAGAAACCTAAACCATGACTGAAATAATTTGCTCGTGGAACAAGGCATGAAATGGCATTTTAGGACGAAATTCCAAGCAAAGATACTCCAATGAGACCACCCTATCTTGCTCTTCAATGACACTGAGAAGACGAATGCGTCGATTTCAAGTACCCCAATACACATGATACAGTACTGTAGAATTTGAAGTGTGGTGAATGATAATACTATTCCACGCACATTTTCATTACCGCATCATCACACCATGTTGCCTTATTGGGACTGGATTACATTTGGGAGACTGTGAAATTGCAGTAATTGTGCCACTGTTTATAAGGTTAATTTCTTGTTGGAAAACTCCTCAAAATGCTGGAAATGGCTTATCTGAGCTTCCAGGAATCCAACATTTTCTGGGTAGCAGTTGTTTAAATTGTTTCAGACAATAAAACCTGGGCGCAATTATAGAATACCAGACCAATACACCATTTCGATAATTACGTCACAAATCTCTTCTTGACCTGGGAGCCTCGTCCTCATGAATCGTGAGCCAATGGCATTTCGTCTTTCGGTTCATGAGAGCGAAGCTCCAAGGCCAAGAAAGTAGTCATAACGTAATTATCGAAAAGGTGTATTCATAGCTCAATATTGAAAAATTATTCAAAAGGAACTTTGGCTCCCTAATGTTTGGTCTGCGCCTCAAGCACTGAGCAATACTGTTTTACTGGAGGACGTGTTCGGCGTCTAGAGGCGAAGCCAAAAACATGGTGAATCACAGTGGGCCCACCTTGGAAGTACAGTCGAACCCCTATTAAGCGGACACCTTCGGGACCTCGCCTAAGTGTCCGCCTAAAAGGGGTGTCCGCTTAAAAGGAGTATGTAGAAAAACACAGCAGGAGGCAAAGGTGTGTAATTTGAGTATCATCATGGCTGGCGGCTCACAGTCCTCCGTCCTCATTCTTCACTTCCTCAATAATCTTGGCTCTGATGTCTTCGCGCCAAGTTGGTGTGTCACTGTCAATGTGCCATGTAAATTGATCTCAATTGTTATTTACTCTCGAATATTGAATACATTTTATCAGACAATCTGTCATCTGTCCGCTTAAGAGAGGTTGATTTACACATTGGTACCTCCAGAAAGGTGTCCGCGTCCGTTAAAGAGGGGTGTCCGCTTAATAGGGGTTATGATAATAGTTTTTTACTAAAGAAACCAAATGGGACCTGAGATATGTGTCCGCTTAAAAGAGGTGTCCGCTTAAGAGAGGTGTCCGCTTATAGGGGTTCGACTGTATGATAAAAACACGCGTGCAGGCTGCGGCCCGCGCTACATGTTATTCTTCAGCGGTAGATTTCCGTAATACTTCATGTAGAATAAAAATAATGTGCTTTGTTATGATTCGAAAATAGACTCATATTTCAAGTAAGTATTCACTTTGAATTATTCTACATAATTTAATGCTAAGTTTTTATCATACTTCCAAGGCGGGCCCCCTGTTGGCGGATTTCGGCGTTTGCTGTCGCCGATAGATAGGAGCACCTCCTCCAGTAATATATTATAGCTCAGTGGCCTCAAGGCACCATGTTATTTGTGACGTCAATGGCTAACCAAACCACAACCTCGTACCCAGGGTTAGCCTTTTTTTCGGCCGTGGCGAGCCGAAAAAAAGGCTAGCACTGGGCCAAACCACAGGCCAAACCATATCGAATTTCGTATGCGATATTCTGTAACGTGTACAAAATAAATGTATCGAATTTCGTATAACCTAGTAAGAGTCTGTTTAACGCTGTATTCTACTATTCTATAACGTAAGTTGCAAGAAGATACAGGATTTGAAAATGAGCAGAGACGACACCCTCTCGCCCTATGAAAAGGTAATGCACCTCACGCCGGAGACAACAAACGAAGAGTTGTGTGAACTCTATTCTGCGTGGCGTCATACCTTCGATAAAGTAAGTGCATTAAAATTAAAGAATAATTGTTACGCAATGGTAAGGGATCCAGGGATCCCAATATTTAGACGCTATCGATCTGTCCGACAAAAGTGATTTTTCCTCGTTCTTTAAACATGCTGAAACTGAAAGGCAAGTCTTCGGCAGTCGAGCGATTAAGGCACTCGCTTTAATTTCACGCGCTATTGCGTTAATTAGTGTATGTGCGAAACTCGGTTCAAACGAGGTTATGAGAGTTGCCAGTCACGCGACTTTCGTTAGCTGTTCTTAATGCTTTCCCAACACTATCATGCACACTCCATTTAAGTTAAATCGTAGTTGAAACGCTCATCAACCCTTTATTTTGTTAATCCAGAGCCAACTCTCACAGGGTGTTAGCCAGAAGTAAAAAAAGTCCGCGTTTACCTGAAATTGAGAAATCTATTTTAGCCTGAAGCCGGGCATTTCTTTGTGGGTCTGGGGGCATGCGGTTGCCCCCTCTCGATTTTTAAAACTTTTGTGTCTTTGAAATGGCATTTCCCGCATTTTGGGAGTAATTTTGAGCAAATGTAGTTACAAACATATTTTTAATGGCGTATATTGACGGCAAGATGGACGGTAAGATACGGTACTGGACCTGGTCTATTATCAGATGTGAAAAAATAATTGAATTTCTATCACTACTTTTTGGCTGACCCAAATTGGGAAATTGCGACCTCAAGGTAATTGGGAAAACCGCGTTTAACGCGGAATTTTTGACTGTAGCTAACACCCTGTCTCATCAGGGGCTTAATTCCTGCAAACAAGTGGCCAGAACGGTTAGAATAAGGACCAGTTCGGGTTACCGTTGGGTAGGGTAGGACAGGTGCGGGACAAATAGCACGGATTTTGTTCTTTTAAATTATTATTATTATTATTATTATTAAAACTTATTTACAAACAATAACCCTTCAGCCTACGCTGCTTTTAAAGGGGTTGTTTACATAAAGGAAAGTACAAAATAAATATTTACAAAATAGTATAAGTATTTACAAAATAGTGTAATTGACTAGGAGTCTTTACAATTGGATATTTTATCAACGTAGGTGATTCTTGAGCTTAGTTTTAAAAGAATGTATCGTCAACTGTTCGTGAACGTCTAAGATTTCGTTAGGTAATGAGTTCCAGGCGGAAGCTCCTCGATATGAAAATGACTTTTTCATAAATGATCTATTAGGTTTATCGAGAGTTAGTTTCCGCCCGTTGCTCCGCATGTGGTGACTTCTATTATCACAGCAGGAAAACATTTTACAGATGCACTCCGGCGCTATACCTCGGATAGCCTTAAACGTAATTAGAAATCCTCTTTTTTTAAGAATGTTATCTATTGGATGCCAACCTAGACTCTGGAGGATTGTTTTTGATCTTGTTTCATAGTTTAATCCTGTAATTATACGAGCGGCTCGCTTTTGTAATTTTTAAAGTTTTTCCAAATTTGTTTTGTTTCCATCGTTCCAAACTGTCGAACAGTATGTAAAGTAAGGAACTACCAGGGAATTGTAAATACGGAGTAAGTCGTTGTAAGGTACGTGTGGTTTTGCCTTTCTAAGCAGAGCTATTGCACTTGAAAGTTTTTTGCATTGCTCATTAATGTGTTCAGTCCACCTTAGTTCGTTATCAATTGTAATACCTAAGGGTTTTTTTTGCTTAACTTGTTTAATAATGGACCGTTTATATGTATACGAATATCAGTGCGAAATTGATTAAGTTTTCTTTTTGAGGCTATTATCATAAATTCTGTTTTGTCTGAGTAGTGTGTAAAGATATACTTTAGAAATTCTGCAATGAATGCTTCTTTGAACCAATTAAGTTAAGTTTGAATGAATAATCTTCTCCAAGTTTTCTAAAAGGGTTCTTGTCAAGGATATTCATTACAGAAACTTCAAAAGAACTTTAATTTCTTGATTTCAATTTAAGGATATATTGGAAGGTTTAGAATGTGTTGTGCAGATAATTTCTGCAGAGAAACTATCCAAGACTCTTGAAGAATCTGGATATGGTAAAGATGCTACCATCTTAGATTTTGGCTGTGGCACTGGAATAGTTGGAGAAGAATTGTACAAACATGGCTATAGGGCCATTGATGGTTTAGACATCTGCCCAGAAATACTCGAAACAGCTAAGGCAAAGGGTGTTTATGAAAAGTTAAGCCAAGGTACAATGGGTTCTGATGGTTGCGAAGACCTTGGTGTAAGTCCGAACCAGTATGATGCAGCAATATGCATTGGTGTGTTTTCCGTGGGTCATGTAAAAGGAAAAGGGTTTGATGATCTTCTTTATGTTCTGAAGCCTGGAGGATTAGCTTGTTTCACGATCAGGGATTGCGTCGCTAACGACTCACGTTACGGATATCAGGAAAAAATGAAGGAACTTTCTGACGAAGGAAAATGGAAGTTGGTTGTGAAAAGTTATGAAAAATATCATAAAGATGACCCAATGGCTTGGCTGTATATATACCAGAAATTATAGATTTAGTTAGTTGATACTGTTCAGAATGAAACATTATTCCAATTTTATTAATAATACCTACTTAATCTACATTTATTACTAGCAGTTAGCAGTTGACGTTTATATCAACAGCCTTTTCCACATTTTTTATATTGTATGTTTCATCAAATATAATGCATTGCATGTTTTGAAAAAGTTAACATAGGTGTTAATTGTGCAGTCACCGGAAACCCAGATCTTTGGCTATTTGTCTGCAAATTTATTTGACTTGTTCATTCATATGGTCAGCAGTTGTTTATTATAGAATACCAGACCAATCCAAAGTTTCAATGTTGTGCTAATGGTAAAGATAGTAATATTCTAGTGGTAAAAATAATAAATTTCAAATTATTTAATGCCCGACCTTATCCAAAACAACCCAAACCTACCTATCCGGCTATTCTGACGGCTATTGAGCAAAAGTTGATTATATATGTTTGTGATGTCGGTCTCTGAGTGCTGTCCACACCGGGCAAGCTGAAAAGTTTGCTTGACCACGGTGGGAATCGAACCCGCGACAGTTTGGTTTGCCAGTCTTCAATGTTCTACCAACTGAGCTGCGAGGTCTCAGGTCAAGTTGGTGATTTTCGCAAGTCTAGTTCCCGATATCAGTGTCATACAGTCACATAGTCATGTAACTGTCTCGTCCCCAGTCGCTTTCAAAGAGGGGGGGGGGGGACGAGAAAAAATTCTTCGTTGGGCGCGCGAAGATTGCCTGGCAATGATATCACAGTCACTGATCTATATAGATTGCAATTGCACTGTGCCCAACGAAGGGCCTGCGGATGAGGCAGGTCATGTAACGCGCACGACTCAAAGTCAATCTGTGACTCAATCTGACGGTTAGTTGCAAAATGAAGTATATCGAATTTCGAACCATTTCGAATTTCGAAATTTCTCACTCCCTTTACTGTAAATAGACCATTTCAAAAGTCTGCCTTGTGACGTAGTTTGCGGATAAATACGAACATTTGGACAATCAGAGGTTTTCCTTTATCTACGTTTTACTCACTTTTTCTACGTCACAATACAGACTTTTTAAAAAGATCCATTGTGAGCGGTCAAGTGGAACTGATTTATTCGGTTGGTCACAATTCAAAAGAAATCAAACGAAATATTTCTCTGTAAGTGGAAATCCCATCTTAATTAGTGTTACAAGCGGCGTGCAATATCCTGTAACCAGTTGTAACTGAAGCAGATACAGGATTTGAAAATGAGCAGAGACGACACTCTCTCGCACTATAAGAAGGTAATGCACCTCTCGCCGGAGACAACAAACGAAGAGCTGCGTGAACTTTACAGTACGTGGCGTGATACTTTCGATAAAGTAAGTGCATTATTACATTAACTGAAACAATATTTCATAAGCAGAGGTAATTCGTCCGGCATGGGATCCCAATATTTATCTTGAAGGGTCTGTGCCAGTGTAGGCAATGCCAATAATAACAAGCTTTCGTTGATAGGCATGCTACTACCTGAAAAATACAAGGAGAACTACGAAGGTTTCGCTCGAAACGTCGAGTTTCTCCTTGTATCCATATCAACCAAAGTTTCATTATCCCAGTATTTACTAATATTTACACGCGAAACGTCCGAATAAACAATTACCAAATACATTTCACTTCATTTCATTTCAAGCACGTCCTCGGCGATATCGCCTGAATCGAATCCGGGAGTGAAATTCCATGTACATGTCGTAAAAAAACTCGGATCAAACTAGAGGGATCAAACGAGGACACGAGTGCAATCATACGACCTTGGTTTGCCGTTCTTATGCACATATCAACGGCCTGCCTGGGGGTACACCCCTGGGACTCTGAAAAAACATAATTCTAATGCATTAATTCCCCCTCCCTCCCCCGGGAAATGTGTAAGTCAAACTGCCCTCCCCCTGGGGCTTAGAATAAAGTAGTTCATAATATAAATAGCATGCAAACAATTAAAAAATCATACAAACTGGGGTATCACAATGGCACCCGTGTATTCTGCATTTATTTGTTCAAATGTTAGCAAGACCACTACAAAATATAAATAATAAGTTGGTGATTGATGTTTTTCTATGTGAGCCTGTGATTTTGAGTTCGCACCAATTGTGCACTTCATTTATAAAATTCAAATTGTCACGTCAAAGTCCCCTACTTCCCCTCCCCCTGTCGTCCTATTACTGCAAAGTTTGTAATTTCCCCGGGGTTCACGGGCAGAATACACAGATAAAATACCAAATTCCCCCTCGTTTTCCCCTGGTTGTCCCGGGGGTGTAACCCCTTGGCAGGCTGTTGATATATGCATTAATGCTTTCCCAAAAATATCATGTATTCTGTTTCGGTTAAAACATATTTGGAACACTCATCAAATGTTTATTTTGTTTATCTGGTATTCTAGAGCTTGAAATGTCTCCTGTAACAATGTGTGACTGCTAACTCTCATCCTCGTTTGAGGAATGTTAGGATAACTGAGGGGGGAAGGCCAGAATAGGGTGAAGGCCAGGATAGTGGAAAGAGGGTTAGGTCAAGTGCAGGAGAAATAGCAAGACCAGTGGCATTCCAGAGACTATTCCAAGCGGGGGTGGGGGTGGTTGTTCCTCTACTGCCTCTTCGCTTTACAGACCAACTCAGTTTTACCATTCAATTTACCAACCATTTCCAATCAATTTACGGAACATTTCCAATCAATCTACTGACAAGTCACATTTTCCCAACATAATCTCTGTTTTACCGATAATTTTTTTATTTCAATTCAAGGATACATTGGAAGGTTTAGAATATGTTGCACATATGATTGGAGCAGAGAAACTGTCCAAGACTCTTGAAGAATCAGGATATGGTAAAGATGCCACCATCTTAGATCTTGGCTGTGGCACCGGAGTAGTTGGAGAAGAATTATACAAAAGTGGCTATAGGGCCATTGATGGTTTGGACAACTGCCCAGAAATGCTTGAAACAGCTAAGGCAAAGGGTCTTTATGGAAAGTTAAGCCAAGGTGCAATGGGTTCTGATGGTTGCAAAGACCTTGGTACAAGTCCGAACCAGTACGATGCAACAATATGCATTGGTGTGTTTACTGTTGGCCATGTAAAAGGAAAAGGGTTTGATGATCTTCTTTATGTTCTGAAGCCTGGAGGATTAGCTTGTTTCACAATCAGGGATTGCATCGCTAACGACCCATGTTACGGATATCAGGAAAAAATGAAGGAACTTTCTGACGAAGGAAAATGGAAATTGGTTGTGAAAAGTCATGAAAAATATCATAAAGATGACCCAATGGCTTGGCTGTATATATACCAGAAATTATAGATTAATTGATACCGAGTAAAACATAGTTGAAATTTCAAATTAAATTGTTATACCTTAATTAATATGGTATCCAAATGAAGTTAGCTATCTCTTTATGTCCATTGCACAAGTTTGTTAGTCTGTTCAGAGTCATAAGCCTTGGTATTTACTCAAAAATAGTATGTTGTGCTTGTGGTGCACTTGTTTTCTGCATATTCAGGGCACTGCCCTGTAGCACTAATACTATGCCTATTGCTTAGTTGTCATTATGAGATAAAAAATTGCCAACAAACTGCTGCTGAACATTGAAAAATTGACACAAACAATTTTTTATAGATAGATTTTTTTATAGATAGAATTACTAATGACTCAAAATTGAGAGGACTGCAGGACATCACAATACATGTAAATTCAAATCACAGATATGAGCACATACAAACAGAGATTTGCTTTAAAACTAACGAAATTTACATGGTATCATTTTAGCATGAAATTCGTAGGAAAAATTCCAACCAATAGAAATAATGTTACCTGAACTGTATGCATGCATGAGCTCAGACACCTGATTTTCAAAATTTTCTGGGGGAGCATTGATCCCCCTGATAGTGCCCTTTTTTGGCATCTGTATTTACCTTAGGTTCCTACCCTTGATGCATGTTAGTCGATGCATTCTCAGTGTATTTAAATATTTTTTTCTTTAAAAATATAGCATATTACATTTTGACAACTTGTTAGTGGCACACAGTTACAGTATCCAAGTGTTCATTTACTTGATTATTTGCAGAAAATTTTCAATGTTCTCTTGCAGTCTCAGAAAGTAAAATATTTTTTCCACCCCTGGTTCATCCAGGGTTAAAATTTAACTGGGCACTGTTTCTGTATTTCTGCTCGTCCATTTATTTCAAAACTTTATAAAATAAAAACTCTATTGATCATGATCCAAACCAGATTTCTGGAAAAATATTTCCAAGTTTATAGAAATGTTGTGATATAAAAGTTTGCTTTAAATTTTACGTTAAACCTAGGATTAAGCTTATTGGCCCCTGAAGAATTCCTAGCATAAATAAGATCCACTATTAGGCCGATGGAATTAAGGTATCAGTTTACCATCACCCGCCCGCATGTATCATATCAGTTTACCGTCACCCGCCCGCATCAAGAATCGTCAAAATTTTATTGGATTTTTTCAGTTGAAATTCAAATTTTTAGCTCAAAATTTGACAAATTCAAATCATGAAAAATAATGAATGAAAAAAATCCGCATCAACTTTTGAAATTATTTATAGCCCACTAATAAACAAACATTTGCACATGATGTAGCAAATGTCACCCTATATGGAACAACACTTTTTTGTGCAGACACAGAATTTTGGACCAAAACTGCAGATCCTTTATTCTCTCACTCAAAAAACTGACAGTGTCTGTCATGTTTTTATGTCAAAACAATCAGAAATGCTACTACATTCCTAACAAATCAACACTATTTGGAACTTTGGAAGCAGAGACATCTGATTGGTCTGAAATAATTTGTGTTGAAATTAGTTACAGGGTGTATCAAAAAAAGCGCAATCCTCGACTGAAATGTAAATTGCTAAACAAATAATAGACGAAAACGTTAAAGTTTACATTCATTTTAAAGCGTAGCCATTCAGTTTTCTAACAGTGGGTTGTTTCTTAAATTTGACTCATTGGTTCGCGGGTAATAATACTTTACGTTATTGCGATTGGAGATTAAAAAAATTGAGATGGAATAACAAATCGTTCTCATGAAAATAACTGATTTTTTCATTAAAACAAACAAATGTTGCATTTTATTAAATGGATTGTAACAATAAGTATAATTACGGCTTTTCTTCCACTATTTTTAACTCAGTTTGAAACTTCAAATGCGATATAATTTTGGCTTGGACCATCTAAGCTGACTGACATCAACTTGCTATAATTTCTGTTTACATTACATCGCAATTCGATGACACTCTGGCTCAGACACCAGAATGTTTTGACGATTTTTAGCATTCGTTTAGGATTTTCAAACAACCTGGTATCTTTTAAAATACTTTTAATTTGTTCTTACGTGGTTTTCCAGATGTAGTGACGACAACATTAAAGTTTAAAGAAGAAAATTCTAACATTTAAACCGACTAAACAATAACATAGTAAACTTGCATAATTAAACAGCAACTAAAAATGATAGGTTTTACCAAATCTTTTCCTGTGCAATTATTACTAGCATTGGAGACAAGGATAATAGTTTGTTTGAAAGAGAAAAGAACAGGCTTTGAAGTAAGCCTAAAAGCGTTTAACTAGAAATAGTATTTCGAAAGTTATTAAGCACAAAAGATGAATTGCGTTTATTTTGATACACCCTGTAGTTTGACATTTTAGCAGCAAATTATACTGCAAAAGGCCACAGTCTTTAACTCATTTAAGCGCATTTTTATAATTTCAAATCTTAACTAAATTGACAAATATTTCAAAACAAACCTCGAACAATGCAAGAACCTTGTGTTCTTCCAAGTATCTATAAGCCTTCATATAAGGGTCTTCCAAAGTAGCGGCATATTTAGCTCTGTTGAAATTCGCTGATGATGCGAGAAGTGAGGCTTTGATATTTTCAATATAATTTCTTCCAACCAGTCTGAAATCGTCCTGTGTTTTTAAAACTGCTGCATCGTTCGTTTCTTTTTCAAGTGTCTTTCCAGCGGTACTATATTCGTCGTCAATATTTTGTTTTAAATCCGAAATTGACGGTTCTTTTGCCTTTTCGTCTGAATTTTCCGCCATATTGATTTGCTTTCGTCAGTGTCATGACAACAGACAACTTCAATATTCAGTGGATTCTGCCCGTGCGCAGGCGAGGAAAACACTGATCTCTATAGCGTTCACTGTCTGTATCCCATTCTAGCCCTATTAACTCATTGAGCGCACTCCTCTTATGAGTAAAATAATATGGCATTAGACAGAGTGAAACAATATAAAAGTAGGGTGCGTAGGGGCACAATTTAATCATGGGTTAATCGTCACTCCAATCCCTAAGAAGTTGTTTCACTGGAAATGGCAAAATGCCCATACAAATTAACTCATGGGCATTCATTATAAATTTATCAAGATAATACGACACAGGATGCCAAGTTTATTGAAATCACCCACAACAAACGCCTGTGAGGTAATCAAACCCATGCAAATAATTGTGAGATTTGTGGCTAATCGAATCTATAAAACCAAGATTGGATTAACCAGCTACAATCAGAACAATTAACTTTATGGATTATCACCACACCACATAATCCAGAATAATTTATATATTTCTGAAGAAAAAATTCTTATTTCTAACAAAACAATTCCCCAACAAAAATTACATTATTTGCAATTTATATAGATTGTCTATTGTCAATCTTTGTCTCTATATAAATATATTGAATTCTTTAGTTCATCTGTTTCATGTTGAAGACTAACTCCAAATATGAATTAAATATTCTACTTTTGTAACCATTTTATAGATATCTTGGAATACTTATGGAAAAAATAGTATTACTCCACTATTAAAAAGCAGATTCTGTCTAAAGGTGCATGTGCAATACACCCTTTCAATAATTACGTCATATTTTTTGGTCTTGGAGCCTCGCTCTCATTAGTAAATTATGCAATGTGATTGTCTTACGATTCATGAGAGCGAGGCTCCAAGGCCAAATGACGTAATTATTGACAGGGTGTATTCACTTGGCCAGGTTGTGAGAAAACCAAGTGCAAAAGAATTTGTGGCTATGTAAAAAAATTTGGTCAAGAACTTTTGACTTAGTATAAACTTAAATGCACATGCATCTTAATTTATCCTGACAAGAGATACTGTAATATTATGCAACTTCAAGAATTTCTTTGGCAAACAGTATTTCTAAAATAAACACAACGTATGCTTAAACTTTTTGTTTCTTACTGGCAGACTGTTCAATCTCTTCCATAAGCTTCCTCTTGGCCACTACTGATTCTTCCTGAAGCTGCTTGATTGCTAAGTCATCATCCTCAGTTGGATCTGTCCACAGAGAACATGCTGTACATTTTTGGCACTTCTTACCAGGATCTCGAGGATGTCGGCAAAAATGATTATAATTGATTGATGATTTACGACAAACATAACATTGAGTAGTACCACATCTACATGTCATCTTGTTACAACCGTCTTGCTTTGTGAAAGTCAATGAGCACTTTGCACATTTCCGCACTTTTGCCACGGTCATTCTTTCTTCGTAACTCAGTCTTAGGTTCGTTTGAGATTTCTTTTCAATCTCATTACATTTTTTCCCAAAATGATCCTTCCATTCTTCATTACATTCTATACATGTTTCCTTCATGCATTTTGGATTCATGCAGGTGAACACCTTCTCTGTTTCTGGTATAATGGCAACAAACTCACAAAATGGGCATTGGTGGAGATTTGGAATATCAGCTTTGGCTAAACAATCCTCTTGAAGTCTGCCTTGGTATTTTTCAATTTCATTCTTTGTCAGACACTTTTCCAATTGATTGTATGGAAATGGTTGATCACAACTCTCTCCCATGCAAATTAACTTCACAGATGTCATAGCTGAACCAAATATGATCTCCTTTGCATAACCATGGAGACACTCTTTACAAAAAAGATGGCCATCACTACACTGAATGATTTCCTCAAATGGAAATTCTCCAAAACAACAACCACATTCAATTAGTTCTCCTTCATCTATGTACTGTTGCTTATTAACATGTGCAGCATAGATGGCATTCTTCTTCTCTTCATTTAACATTTTCCGTTTTTTGACAAAATCTATTTCTAGCTGCAATTCAGGATGGATTTTGTCAAAAAGTTTCACTGGTGTTCGTTTGCTTGCCAATAACCGGGTTATGGTAAATTTATTTTTCCGTGTTAAATTAGAGGTGGTTGGCAAGCTGCTGCTCTGTAGTGATGTACTGCTCTGTGGCACTGCACTGCCTTTTGGCAATGTACTTGCCTGTGGTGATTTACCTCTTCGATTCTGGTTCATCTCCACAAGTGCTTCTTCAAGTAATTTCCGGGCCGGGGCATAGTGGTCATTGCATATTTGCATTGCTTTTCTGATGTCGACTACTGAAACTCGTTGAAACTCATTCCGTAGCAGATATTCACATGGGCGATGGTACAAAGGTGATACTTTTTGAGAAAAGTCTGTGAAGTAATCAATCTCTTTGGTTTGTGCTGGTTCTTTAGGAGATGGTGGATTCGAACTTGAGTCAGACTTTTGCATGTCAGGTCGATCAATAAGTATGTTTACAATACTGTTTAGATCATGACCCTGTTGGGATAGATTTTGAACAAACTGTCTGTTTACTTTCGGGAACATTTGTTTAATGAAATCAAGTAGTGAGCATCCCATTGGCATACTTTGTTGATTGGGAGTTACTAATGGTTTTTCTATTGGCATTGCTAAAGGTTGCCAAATGGGTGTTGCAGAAGGTTGCATGATAGGTGTTGCTGAAAGTTGCATGACGGGTGTTGCTGGAAGTTGCCTGATGGGAGTTTCTGAAGGTTGTTGACCGGGTGTTGCCAAAGGTTGCCGATTAGGGGTGGTTGATGGTTGCTGGTGTTGTTGTTCGTCAAAAGTCAAATGTTTTATCACTGTAGATCTCAATGGACTAGCTGGTGCTGTCATTTGTTGAGGGACAATAGCTAAAGGTGGGGACGACAAGTCTGTGATTAACCTATCAAAATTGTCATCAGAGAATTGATCTCCTATTGGACTACTGTCCCCATTGTAATTGAATTTATTCATGTATCTTATTGGATCATCAGTTTCGTCGTCACTACTTTCGAATCCAGGATAATTGTCCGAGTCGATATCTGAGAACGGCTGAGGTGTTTCTCGTTGGGGGCGAATCAATTGACCAGGCCCATCTTCTCTGACTAAAACTACAGGAATATCTCTCGTTTTTCCTTTCCTTGAAGTTTCCTTCCTAATGGATTTAACAACAACAACATCGTCGTTTCCTTGTTGCCCATTATTGTTGTTCCCAAACCACCTTGCTTCTTCTTGACGAGCGAGAACAACCTCAATGCAATGTGTCAAAATGTCGACTCCTTCGTTTGTCTTCGCTTCTTCGACGGTTCTTTGAATAACATTAAGCTCTATTTGCGGAAAAATTTGCCTGAGTTGTCCACAGATGACAGCGTCATCCATTGGCTAACATTTATATTGTATAAATAGTTAAATTGCTTCCTTAAACACTGTATAAAAAACAATGTGAGTTGACTGTCGACCAGAAAGTATGAATCAATGTGTGTCAATGTCGTATCATTTCAGATTTCACAGTGGGCCTTTAACATTGGCCAATCATATTGCAGGATTTGGAACAAAATGAAGTTTGATTGGCTAAATGCCAAAATAAATTTAAGCGGGAGCGGGATTTCTCCATTTTTCCCACAAGACATTGCGTTTTCCCACAAGACATTTTATTTTCTATCGTTCAGAAAGCTTTTTGGATATTCCCGGTACGTGTTCGACTTATTCTCGGAATTCGTTCCCTTGAAATATCGCTGCGTCACATTACGTCATGTAAAGAAAAACAAAACTCTTGGCAATATTTTATAATTTTATACCAATATATAAAATATATATTGTTGTTTATATTATATCGTATTTTGAACATTTAAAACTTTTTTCATTTGTGGATTATGGCATATTGGTTTCACCGTAACCCTCTGAAAGCTACTGGTCCAGTGTCATTCGAAATATTACGAAGTGGAGCGACTAGCTCAGCTGGTCCACAGCTACTGGGGTAAATATTTTGAAGTATAAACATTTGAAGAACAAATTGATATGTGACAACCAAAATATCTGTGATGTATTTTCTGTGAAAACAGTGTAATATAATTTGTAAACACCAAAGTATGTAGCTCAATCTTTCCAGTTCTGCAGAAAAAGCTACTGCTATAGTGCTAGTTAATAGTTGATGATATTGGCATCCACATTATTTAATTAGTCGATTTCAACTAATTTTTGCCTAAAACAGAGAAGTTCAGATTTGAATTCCACGATGGCTATAGAGCACTGGCACAGAATAAAGATCAGTACCAGAAGGGCCACTCAGCGGTGCAACGTGTCCCCATTTTTCTATGCAAAAACATGCAATTGACTGGCTAGGAAGATGGTGGCCAGCCAATACAGCGTGTTCATTGGCCAGAAAATGTAATCGACTGGCTAGGAAGATGGCGGCCAGGGTGACAGAAACTTCAAAGCTTCCGACGTAAGTGGCCCTTCCGTGTGCCTTATTCTGTGGCACTGGCTCAGTACGCATCTGATTGGTTAATTGGGCATGAAATTAAATCAAAACAAAATTCACAAGATTTGTGAACAAAGCCAGTGATTGGCCAGTCCCTGAATTAACAGAAGCCAATCAAATTTGTAATTTAGTTAGAAACTAGTTTGTGATTTAGACAAACTATGTACTTGGTTATATGGATGATAGCAAGGAATAATCAGGTGGGTGACACTAGGAGGGGAGGGGCAGCAAGAGGGGGAATCACCTCACCACACCCTCAAATTTCTGAAAGCCTTTGAATGGTGATAGCATAACTGTCTCCCAAAAGCATTGATAGGTCATAAATTGCATTAAATATCGGGCAAAAAAGTTCTAAAAAATGCCATTTGCAGCATCAAAATGGTGGCAATATGATGGCAAGTCAAATTCCCCCCCAATATTTTGCAAAGTGTTTTTCACTGGCAGAGGTCCATCAATAGTACAAATTGTTCCAATATGGTGGATCACATCAAATATTGGTTATTTAAAAAACGACAAACCATTTTGTAAAACTGATTAAGTTACTTCCCATCTTAAATCTTGAAGTTATCTTGTTGAAGAATGAAAGTAGTGATACATTAATACACTTCAGGTTGCAGCTAGAGCTCATCAATATACACTTATGTCTAGTTAATGGATGATTCTAGCTATAGACTAAATTTTGATCTGGGCAAGAAGAAAAATTCCATCACCACAGCTAGAAAGAGCATGTTAAAATTAGTAAAATTGCAAAGTTTGGTTGCAAAATGTTGTAAAATGAGGAAAATATAGCCCTACGAAATTTGCAAATTTTGTATTAATTTGTATTACGCATGGGAATTTTCACCAATTTCGGCCCAAATGTGGTGCATTTTCCCGCACGTAATACAAATTAATACAAAATTTTCAAATTTCGCAGGGCTATATTTTCCGCATTTTACAACATTTCGCGGCCAAACTGTGCAATTTTACTAATTTTAACATGCTCTTTCTAGCTGTGGTGATGGATTTTGTTCTTCTTGCCTAGATCAAAATTTAGTCTATAGCTGGAATTGCCCATTTGGATGGTCCCTAGACTGCTCCCCATGCAGCCACCTACTTTATCAACACAGCCACCTACTCAGAATAATTCTCAAAGTCCTGTCAGACTCACCCACTTTTAATTTTTCTCATCTAATTTTTTACCTCCTGTAATTAATTCTCAAACAACAGCGAACTGAAAAAATGTCGAGCAAAGCTACTTGAAGTAATCATTGAACCATCAAGCGAGATATCTACAGTGGAAACCATCTTCCAGGAATACCTATCTCTGCTACATGGGTTGTTGTACAACATTGGTGGTGGAACAGGAAGTGCCGACAGCAAGCTAAGAAAGCTGGTCAGGTTCAGATGGACAAGTTCAATATGTGGAAGTATTCCAATGTAAGGAAAAGAAAAAAATTTTCCTCCCCCCCCCCAAAAAAAACAACAACTAACATCTCCAAAACGCTGCTAAATCCGAATGTAATGTGGGCTGTTGATTTGAGAAGTCTACAATAAAACTATCATTTTAAGCAACAAGGCTATTAGCTGCTGTGGTTGGACAAAAGCTGGGTACATGTTTTCCTATGAATTGGGTCAACTTATTAATTAGTAACACTAACAACTCATGGTATAAAATATAAGTAGCTTACTTGAAACTATATAAAGGTCCAACCCATAATTTCTTCCTGAAATGTAAAACTTAAATGTGAAAAGCTTGTTTATAAAAATTAAACACATTGTCATGATGGTACAATATTGTTGGCCCTACTGTAGTTACATTTGAAGCTTTGAGCTAAATATTATTTATTGGTACTTACTGCTTTTTACCATGTACAGGGCCCAAATTGATTCAAATTTTGAACTGGCATCAGTATGTGTTGAGTTTGCAATGTGGTGCATGAAGCATGCCTCATATATTGCTGATAAGAGTGAGTAAGTATTGTTAAAATGCCATATTTTATTACAATAAAATAAGTACTAACATAATAATTCATGAAAGCCAATCAAATTGCTTTATTTTGGTCACATGATTATGGTGAAAATCTGGTAAAGTATACCTTGATTAAGTTTTAGAGCTGACCTTCCGGAAAGTGCGTCATCTTACTATAGAGCCTCGTTTTCGTAGCGAGCTTAAGATCTACAACGCGAACTTACGACGCGGACGTCGCATTAAACAAGTTTTATTTTAAAACGATGGCAAATTCCATTAAAATATTTGTATCACAGTAAATAAAATGAAATTATACTGGGAAAAATGTACAACATAACAGAGGCTAGCAATATATTAAGAAGATATTTTTTATCATAAGTTTTTACGACTTCTATGACGACGAATCTTTGCAAATATCACGTCGTCTCGGATGGTAGTTTTGGCGGGAAAATGTGCATTCATAACAATAGTCTATAAAGCCTGGTTTCTATCATTTCGTATGGCTGTTAACGTGTCATCACAGTGTCATCACAGTGTCACAAATCTCAAAGAAATAAACTCTGACAACTCTGACTAGGCTTACACTCGAAAACTAGGCTTAGGTAAGCACGTCCGCGTCACAAATTCGCGTTGTAGATCTTAAGCTCCCTAATGTCACATAGACGAAAACGAGGCTCTATTTGGCAAGCGACGTACTTATCTTGCGTAAGAGACATTTGTTTTGTTGTAAGACGCAACACCTAAACTGTTTTTTGGCCAATGTTTTGTTTCATAAAAATACTAGAGCAAATTAGGGATCTATACCTACAACATACAACTAACGAATACAATAAGTACTAGTTAAAACATGAGCAGCAGTGTTTTATCAGATATATGATGACTCCATCGCTCCATTACCCAATCCTTAACGTAAACGTTGTTTTAGTATTACTATGGAGGAAGCGAAAGAGGTTCACACGTGTTTAAAAAAAGCAGGTGGAATATTTCACTATGTCAAGGTTAGAACAATATTTTTTTAATAAAAACAGATCAGAAATAGTGTGTTCGCACCAGTTTTACAATAGCAAACGTTCGCGCACCTGTATCCTGCGCGAATTCTAATACCAACTCGTTTCCGTTACTTATAGGAAAGTATTATCAGCAGCCTGGAGCAACTGCCCGAGGCGAAAACAACAGACATTGATGTGCGTGTTTTAGATGCCTATAAACTGCAATGTATTGCTGAAGCTCAGGAAGGTATGATGGAACAAGACAACCCTTTAATTTCCACGCGTGCTAAAGTCAATATCGCTCATGACTTTTCTGGGAAGTGCGCGCACCTGTTCACCACTGAAATTATTTTATTTTTTTTAGTGACCGTTGCGCGGGCAGTGGAATTGAAACATAAAGCATCGCTTATCTCAGCACTGGCGTACGAAACATCTGAATTGTATTCACAAGCTGGTACCTCGATATAAAGCACCTTCTTTTTATATTTAAAAAATATCTCAGCTCAACCATTCCGCATCCGTTTAATTTTTTGAGCACAATTTTTTCCTCTCTTTTCGTAGCGGATTCTCTCAAGTCTATGGATGTGACAAGGGCAGGCAAGTGGAGGAAATACCTGGAAATTAAACACAATTTTTACCTTGCTTATGTAAGTGATCATGTTAATATAACTGACCTTTTAAGGTAGAGTAATACGGACAACAAAATTGCTGCAACTTGCAACAAAATCTGATTTCTACGCATGTTAATTGAAAATGTTTACACATACATTACAAATCATGAGGCAACATGTGTCAACATTTCTACTTAACATGCGTTGAAATCAGATTTTGTTGCAAGTTGCAGCAATTTTGTTGCCCGTATTACTCCAGCTTTATTAGCTTGTGCACACAATGATATGTTAATATTTTACGTTTCAGGGCTATTGTTATTATGGCGACGTTCTTCTCAGTGAAAAAGAACAATGCGGTGCTAGTATAAAAGTTTTGCAAGAAAGTGAAAAATGTAAGTGTGTGTGTGAGCATACGTTTTTGATCTTAAGAAAAGATGGAGGAATAAAATAACAAGACAATGAATTTTCTAGCGTCACGGAATGTACACAGAGACGGTGATATGTATTGGGAGGTTCATTCCGGAGGGCAGTGGAGTATTTAAGAGAGCGATTCAGAATGATATCCCATTCGAGGCATTCTCTTCGCCCTTCGCCAATACACGAGCTATAATCATTAAATTTAATAATTGTGAAGAATGAACTGTGTAATAATTTATGTATCTGACGAATTTGGTAATAAAGAGATGCCCGCCTCCTATATTCTCGATGTTGTGTTAATGCAGTTTATGTAGAAAATGCTTTATTCTCGTCACAGAATGTAGAGAGTATAACAATATATTCTTGAGAAAAACACGTGCGCTTGAATATGGATTTGTGCCCGCCCCAGTTGACTCGACAGCTCAATTGTTAGAGTGTCAGCCCGGTTCACTGAATATGCGAATTCAAATCTCGCTTGAGTCATGAGTATAAAATAGCAAGACACGAGATGGCCAATTCCGATTGTAACATAAAACAGCGGCGAAATTTCAAAAGCAACATGGCAACATTTCGAAATTGTGACATTACGAGTTGTGAAATCCGACAAGCAACAGCCCTCCACATTAAGGGACTAATTGACTTCATATTTCATTTGCCATCCCTAGTACTCCATATCTCTTGCAAAATGAAGTATTATTATATGTTTATCTTTAGTGTACCAAGCCGCACGTAGTATGTGCCAAGAGTATTCCGCACTTAAAGCGCCCGCGACCACAATAGCACGACCAGCGGATCATCCTGTCTTCAAAACACTTGGAAGTGCGATTAAGACCAAACTTGAGAAGTCCACCCGAGAGAATAGCTTTATGTAAGTTTGAAAGAAACTTCATCTACATTTGCATAAATCACGACTAATTAAACTTTGTATATTTCCATCATTCGAACATATACTTTAATAAGGTAAATAAGTAACGAATTACCCACGTGTTCACTTGTAATCAACATCGAGAACAAATGTTGAAAAACGTCTTCATTTTCTTTTGTTAGATATTTCCACAAGGTCCCGGAGGAAGTGCCAGAATTAGAGAAAAAAGCCGCACATGGTTTGGCCAACCCGCAAGAATTTTCGTTGCCTTCACCACACGCGCTGTGGACCAAGGATCTGTATGACAGTATTGATGCCGAGAAAGTACCCAAAGAAAAGGTAAGGAAATATATCCAGCATTCCAGCTATCTTCGAGTCGGCATTGGAGAAACAAGAATAATAACTGGAGCCAATTATGGAATTAGATCTGCTGAGGTCCTTGATCTACTCTTTTGCGAATCTTTTTCTAGCCATGCATTACATTATTACTCATAACGAATAGAGGAATGGATAGTAAACTATTCACAGCGGTCCCCCCCCCCCCCACTCTTTAAAGTGGGGGTAGAGCTCAGTGAAGAAGAATAAAGATGTGGGGTGGGGTGGGGTGGGCGGGAAAGAACTTGCCCAACTGCCAAACCGTTAAGGAATGGGTAAAAACTCTGAGGGGGAATCACGCTCAACCTCGTTCCCAGGGTCTTTAGGAAAGACCCTGGTATCGGCTGGTCACGTGCCTCGTCCAAAATTGATTGCCCGAGGGGGGTGTGGTGAAAGTATCAAATTACAAACAGTTAAAAACATAAATTTTGCGAACTATTACCTGCAGTAAGTTCAAAGTACTTGCTAATTTTTGTTTATTTTATTTGCATTGAATTTACAAGAACATTCTTACATTTTTACCAACAGTCAAGTCAAGAAACCAAGCAAATCGTTACTCGCAGTGCTTTCTCGTGTTATTATTATTCAATGCTCTCTTCACACTCGACGCGGTTTTATAACAAACGTTTATGGGCTTTTCAGTGGTCACCATTTCTACATATCTAATGTTTTTAAAACACGCATTGGATTTGTCCTTTTTTGTAAACGTTGCTGTGCTTTGCACGTCTTGTTTATAAAGATTTTTAAAAGAAACAGTATTGTATTGTATTGTCTAGGAGTAGAGCCCAATATCAGCAAATGTAAACATTTGATACTAGCCAAACAGAGAAATGTCTGTCAGTGATTTATCTTTAAAATTTTGGATTTAGTACATAATTCGTAATCATTAATTATAGTAAGGCTTTAGCCTTTTTCTTGGTCAGATAATGTTTTCCTAATATGCACACAACTAGGCTATAATCTTCATCACAAATTTACAGTGTCAGACGCGCACAGACTGCCATACGAATACACATAAATTTTCGAGTTTTCTACTTCTACTAAGGCTACTAACAGTCTTCATTGCGTCTCAATCATCTGTTTATTTCTAATTCAATAAGTTCATTAAAATTATATCTCTATATTTATTTGATAGTGGCATATATAGTGATACATGTAGGCTATAGTATTTACACACAAGCAATCCTGGATATGATAGAGAAGATACAAGCTGTCCATTAAAAAATAACGGTATTCTATTTCACAAAGCAAAAAATTTAAATCTCACTTGTATTATTAAGAATATATATAAAGCAGAAAATTAAAGCGTGTGTCAAAACGAAAGCTGTTTATAAAATTTATAAATGTGGTATAAACACAGTAGTAAACAGTAAGACAAATATATTGTCGTTTGACTTATCTTTGATGTATGATTTTACTGTAATACCGTAGATTTTCAACAGACAGCTAGACTTTGACATATACCATGATCGTTGAGATCTTGCAGGAAATTTTATAGTCTTTTGACGGGATTTAAGTTTTGTGATAAGGCCTTTATAATCAACAATCTTGATACAGTTGGCGTCTTGGCGATATTTCGGAAATCAAAAGATCTCGCTATTTCGTTCCAATTCCACATCTCATCAATAAATATATTCTTTTGGTCCGAGTATCAGGATATACTTTAATACTAACAGTTAAATAAATATAAACCACATTGGTCGGTCTAGAGACATGAATTTTCTTGTAGGCTTAATATTGCCACGCCGCCCAGGCGTGCTTTCTTTTGTAAGTTGAAATCTGATCCAACTTGCTTGAATTGTAACTCGACACTAGATTATAGAGCAAAAAGTCACGTCACGATAAATATTAATTTTTAATTGCAGTTCTCTTCACGATTTCTTGTTGCAAATTTAAATTTCATCGCACAAAATTGTAAATATTGTTACAAACGCGACAAAAACGCTCCTCTCCCACCCTACTCATAGTATCATTTTAATTTATCACCCAGAATCTGGGTGACACGTGACCAGCCGAAACCAGGGTCTTTCCTTCGCCTCGCGCCGTTCTAAGAAAGACCCTGGGAACGAGGTTGAATCACGCTTCCGAACAGGCTGTACTCGTTCTCGGATTACTCACTTGTGAAATCATTAATAATTCATGAAGAAAACACAAAATAAATGATAACGTCTCTATCTGATACTTCTCTATGATGATAAGCGTGTCTATCCGATACTTCTTCATGCTGATTTACAGTCTGATTTACAGCCGGGTTACAGTCCGTAATGTAAACAAACGCTTTGTTTACATTTTGAACTGCTATATTTCTTAAAATATTATGAACTGTCAGAAAATTTAACACTATTTTGGTTCGCTATACTTTTAAATAAGTATGAGCTAGTGTTTATGTTCAGAAATATACAAAACATGCGAAATTTGCACAATTTTGAAATCCAGTAGTCTACCTTTGTTATGAGCAGAACCGATGCGCAGAACGGACTGTAACCCGGCTTTAAGTTCAATTTTCTCACCAAATATCATTAATTTATTCTAATGTTTTCACCAAGACGTTTCACAAGCGTCCGTCAAGCCTTCGGCTCGATGTTGTACTTGTAAATAATATTTAAATACGTGGGGATACCGCTGAGAATAGTTATAAATGAGTTATGAATAATATTTTATGTTTTCTAGGCTCCTACCAATGAACCAATCAAACCAATACCTGAAAAGAATCAAGGAGGTTCGTCCTTCTCGTCATGTGTGATCTCATAAAATGTTCTGCCGTTTCTATAAACTGGACTACCAACTCAAATTTTCTATACGTATAAGCATTAATTTAAAATAGAATGTTAATAATATAAGGGGGAAAGTCCTGCGGATGGAATCTAGATTCTTCAATGTAGATCGCTTTAATATGAATTTGTATACTTTATGCTCGACTGAACTTGTAGCCAAATTTGTCTAATACGGAGTTTTGGATGTTTAGTTGTTTAATATGGGGGCAAATAGTTGGAGATAATTATGTGAAACTGACATTAGATAAATGCGGCTACCCTTGTTAATAAAATTGTTACCCAATTCACAAGTTTGGATAACCCACAATCATAACTGTTCTAGTTTAAGAATGCAAAACTACTCGATCATTATTATGCTCAGTTAATCGTACAAAGTTGTCCTTCAGCAGCATTATATGAATGTTGTGTTCGAGTGAGGCCAGAAGCTACTGTTGAAAGTAAAGCCTAACTTAGGCGGCAAATTTTAATATAAAAACTATAAAAATATAAAAAGTTAATATCGGAATGATTATTCCTCTTCCACCCCTTCGGTCATATACATTTAGTTATACAAAGTTGTGAATTGTGGGTGCAGTGCGAGCCGAAATGATTAAATTTGTATTGGTAAAACACTTAAACAAAATTCTAGATTTATTTGTTTACATGTTTTTATCTATGTAGATTTCGTATTTTAATCCCATTATCTCTATTCCCCCCGGCACAGTTGGCAGTCTTTGATACAAACAACGTTTGTCTATGTTTCTCCAGAAAATCATTTAAAACCACGTTATCTTTCTTGTTGTCACGAAGTACCTTGACACCACCAGTTTTTGCACACTGCGGGCTTACTTCAGGCTCGTCCCAGGCCAAACGGCGCTCGGTCTTGTTGCGCGAAACGGTTTTCTCGACTCTGGGATTTTGACCTTTGTCGCCGTTTACGGTTGAAACAATGGGGATTTTATAGTCTTTTCCACAACTTGAAACAGGAGATTTGCTTTCTCTATCAAAACTAAGTAACTTGGTAAGGTGGTCGAAAGTCGGCTGATAACTCGAGTACTTGATAGGCGCCTTCACAAACGGAATAGAAGATTTACTCCCCTTTATCTGCGGTCGGGACGAATGAATTTTCGCAAGGTCATCTTGAGCTTTGCTTACTTTTTGTTTCAACTCGTACTGTTCGCATTTCGTTGGTTTACTTTGAAAATGCAGCATCGTTTCTAGCCTGGCGACCTTAGCCGTGTCCACAGCATGTCTTTTTGGTTGATGGAAATAGTTCCCCTGTCCCGGCTTCGCGATGTAACACGAAACCTTATCGGAGATGTTCGCCCGTAGGTACTTGTTTTTCGGTTCGAGCTCTTGAAACATATGCATGTTTTTGAGTAGAGTTAAATCCAGAACACCGCTCAGTCTCAGTTGTGTATTCGTATTTAGCGAGACATTGGTCACGCCGTTAACGTTAGCTGGTTCTGTAGTCTTGGTCTTTTTCTGCGACTTCGCTCTTATTCCCTGTGGTTTTTGTTCAGATTTGCGCCAGTTATTCCTCAATGTCAGCTCGTGGCAGACTCTTGTTTTATTATTCGGCACCTTCGTGTGGACCTTAGTTCTCGGTCTCCTCAGTTGTGTTCCGCTCATACCACCGCTGATCGGCAGGACCGTAATCTTCTGTGGAGGTTTTAAGCTTTTCTCGGTGGAGTGTTCGGTTTGTTCTGATTTTTTGTCGCAGGTCGACTTCGCCGGGCAAGGGTTTGATCGCGTAGGCGTCGGCCGTCTTTGTACACGCGGTGGGGCAACGAGATGAATCTGTCGTAAATATTTGGTGGGGGTGTGCACACCGTGGGTTTGGTTCCCAGCTTGCCCCGAGGTCGAGGTACACGCCTTTTCCCGCAAACTGTTTTCGACCATTTTTACAAATCCCTGTTGTATTCCAACGACGCAAGCCGCACGACATATTCGAACCCAGGCTATTGCATGAACTGCTTCGAACCCCCAAAATCGTACCAGTGAACATGCGAGCATAGTCCCAGTACGCCCTCGGCCGGCATGACAGTGTACTGCAATAGGATGATGTGCTTTCTTGACAATCTTTAAGAAAGTGTTAAGTTGCGATTCCGAAGGGATACCGCCGTCTTTGAAAAAAATATCGTAATGTTTTATCGCTCGACAGACGAACTCTTCCGAGTCGTAAGGCTGTCCATAGCTCGTACGGTACTCGTAGTCCCTCCCATTCAGTCGGACGACCGTGCTCACTTTGTGTTGTTTGAATATTTCGACGATAGAATAACGGACCCTTGGACCTCGTCCCATGTACCGTGGTTCCTTAGGGTCCTCAAGGGCCAGTAGCCGTCCTGGTACGACCCAGTTTATGACCTCATCGCTACCATCGCACAGGTCAATGACCATGTCAAAGTCTCGTTTTCGGAACCATTGATTGACTACCATAGCATGGTACAGAGCTCGCCAACAGTCTAGTAGAGTCAAAGCATGCGCCGTCGAGCCTTCCATATCCGTGAAAGGTGTCACACTCCCAGTTACTTCATGTAACATGTCTTTTGTCTGCTCCGGAGTAAAATTTTGCCGCAGTACAAGATAGCACCCCATTAAGAAAATGGCGCTGGTACGTTTCTGCTGGTAGCCAAGCGTCTCGAAACTGTTAGTGTAGAACAAATGTCTTCCTGCGGTGTGCTTTAAACTCTTGTCTACCAAAACACAATGGCGATGTATGTTCGATAACGTCATTGGTCCAAAATATTTGCGTATTTTCACGGATATATATAAGTTGTCCATACTGTGGTAATGGTAAATGAAGCCATCCCTCTCGTTCATGTGAATTCCACTCGAAGGGTTGTCCGGACGGATTTGAAAAAAGACACGGTTAGGTACAAGTTCTAGGAGGACTTCCATGATTTTAGTTTTAACAGTTGCGCGCGCCGTAATTGCGTTACTATGCCAACGATTCTTATGCGTCATCGTTCGCGTGAACACGCAGATAATCGCGCGCGCGCGTGTTAGCCGAAGTTAGAAAATATGTTTAAAGTGCTTCATATTTTTACTTGTGTATCTCGTTATGTATGCAGATTGTCCAATAGTATGGTTACGTCATTGTATCGCAGCCGAATTTGTTCGCGCGAAGCGAAAACATGAATTCGGCAATGTGATTGGCTAGTGAAAAAATGCAAATGGTCACTTTTTAATGACGTAACCATGCGACTAGACAATCTGCATGCGCAATGAGCTAGACAAGTAAATCACAGGATAGCAAAGTCAGAAGCACGTTAAAAATATGTTTTACATTTATTCGCTAAAGATAGATTATAATTACTCATTGCCAGGGTCTTAGCTAGGATTTTAGATCCTGGGCGTGTTTCTAAATGACCAGGGTGTGCACATGTCAATTACCCTGAATAGCCAAATTCATGGTTCTACAACAATGGACAATGCCTGTGGTTGTTCTATGCTTAATACAAGGCGAGCATGCATACGCTCATATATATTGCGCACTGACATTAAAATATTAAGTTATTTCAGCAACTCTTGGGGGTATTTAAAACCACTTTAACAATTAACACCATGCATACGGTTCCCATTATCCATCAAAACATTAAAACATTATGGATCACTTTTGGCAAATTCAACATTTTACAAACTTTCTTATGACGTAAATAGAAAGAAATTCTGTCTGTCGTGGTTCTAAGTAGCACCATCTTATTTTATGAACCTACACGGCCTTATATAAATAATGAAGCCGCGCTCATTTTATCTAGCCGTGTTTTTCCATTTTTGGCCGCGATAACACGGCCAACACGGCCCTCTAGCTAAGACCCTGCTCATTGCGAGAATAACAATACATTTAACAATACATTTGTTGCAAATTGTCTATCAAGTTATTTGCAGTTCTATAGTAGTACAGTGCTTTGAGCAATCACTGCCATTGTCTACTTCATAAATATTTATATTTCCTGGTAACGTTGTTTTTACTTTTACCATTTCATTATTTAATTTATTTATTAACTTTACAATCATACAAAAATTATAACAATGATTGAAGGTATGGTGAACAGGACATGAGTCCCATGTGAAGACCATGTTAATAATAATTATGATTAATAATTACTATATATTCTTATTTTATATCATTTTTATAATGTAAACTTACTATTATTGTTACTATTATTGTTATTAAATCTTTATTACTTTATCTTCAAGGCAACTATTAGACTAATTTCCTATTTATTGGACCTTTAGGTTATATTTAGGCATCATATTATATATTACTTATCTCTACTAAGTAACACTCTCCTGTGAATCAACCAATGTATCAGCATCATTCACCTCCAGATGATAGTCTGATGTCTTGACGCAAATGCAAAAGTATCTTTAATGGAATAAAAAATCACTAATTCTGACGCAAAACAACAAATTATACAAACAGAATGAATAAAAAGTTAAAACAGAGACAAGTTTGTCAATAATGTTATAATGAATGAATATTGAGTAAATAATCAGCACGCCTCATTTGCCAAAAAAATAATCTTATAGTGATATATTCTTGAATTGAAACTGTACAACTGGAATGGATCAGTTTCATCTGATATAGGGGAATTTTTTGACAGGTATTTACACCAGCATTTCTCAAATGATGAAAATGATGTACTAAATGTCACAAATCAGGCCTATATTAACACAAAACATCCTGTGGCTCTGGTTTTTAATATATCCTAAAAACAAATTGGGTAGGTAGGCCTGAAAAAAATCGCCTATGACAAAATGATGCACATTAGGAGACGGGTGACTTACATCATCAAAAAAAGAGGCAAGAGTAGCAGGCAAGACATAACAATGAAACACAGTCCAGGCCATGTGGAAACAGTCACTTTGTAAATATTGTTAAATATGGAAGATGCAACAAGCGTCCCAACTGATGATGCACTGGCTAACACAGCAAATAAACTTCCTGAAATAAAGAACATTTGTTAAAGTGTTACATACGACACATTAAAATAATATAGTGGGGCACATTGGGGTACAGTGCAACTTAATTGGTTAAGACAAACTAAGAAAGCTATTAGGGCAGGATCTAGCCAAATTGTACACCATTTGCAATTTGACTTCAGGATCCATTCTCATCCGTAGACCCCCGTGGTTATCTCAATTCAATAATTGGCTACCTCCACAAAAATAGAATCTACAGCCATGAAATGGCTAGCTGACGAACTGATTGACTAACTTTCCATAGATTAAGTGACTCAAACATATACTAAGACAAACCTTGTTCATCACTGCCAACCAATTTAGACATGATTGCTCGAACAGCAGGAACAGTAATTCCATTGAATATGCCAGATGAAATTGCTAAAAACACAATAATTATGAAAGTCAAATATTGAAAAATTATTTGAAAATTGCCTTGAATATTGTATGGCAAGCAGGAGAGTAGTGAGTGATAAGAAATTGAACTTGTGCTGTGTACCAGTATCAATTAGAAAAAAACAGCTGCATCATTTTTCAACTAAAATTGCTATAGTGCTCTCCTTGAAACAAAGTAAGGGGAGATAACTAAATGATCAACCAATATTTCCTCCATTGGGTCATTCCAGAATAAAGATCCACACTCCTCCCACAGAGAACATTTTTGCCATTTGGAGGGGAAGGGGAGAAAAATTGTTTTTGATGATAGTTATTAGTAAGTGTTGCTTGTGATGTTACTCTGAGTGTATATCCACACTGGGCAAGCTTGAAAAATATGCCTGACCACGGTGGGATTCGAACCTACAACCTTTGGAATACTAGCCCAATGCTCTGCCATAGTACTACTGTAGATTCTGTTCCGAAATATCACATACTCGAACCGACCAGACCGCGTAGCTCAGTTGGCAGAGCATTGGGCTAGTATTCCAAAGGTCGTAGGTTTGAATCCCACCGTGGCATATTTTTCAAGCTTGCCCGGTGTGGATATACACTCACAGCAACACACAAGCATCATATTCCCTTGAGTACATTACACCAACACAGAAAAATCATTATTAGTAAGTGTATTAGGACATGCAAAGGGGGTGGGGAGTTCACTTCCAATTTCCTCTGTGGGAGTGGTATGGATGTTTTTTGGAATAACCCATTAAGTATAACTCACCAAGAAAAGCTTGCCATGTATTTGTTGTGAATGCCATGAACACTGTGCTAGCAATGTTTGTGATGATACCAGCACAAACAATAGTTGTATCCGAGAGTTTTAAAATACGAGTCATGACTGGCATTCCAATTAAGACACCAACACCTTTGACAACCAATGAAACTGCAAGAAAGTAACCAATCATGGAAGACGAAAAGCAGAATGGACGATGGAGAACAAACAAAATAAGGACATCATTTGTGCCAGTGAAAACTAAAAAGAAAACATAGTAAACAATTTAATATTTTTCATAATTGTATTCTCATATTAAAAGTAAATAAGGTTTAATGACTCAAAGAAAGGAGTAGGGATTCCACTACCTAAAAAAATACAAGTAGAATTTTTTTTATATTTTACTTTTATTTTAAAATTTTCATTTTCAGGTAGTTGAATCCCTACCCATCTACAGTTTTTGGGTACACTGTACCCATGCTGGTAAAGACTGTTCAAGTTCAAATAACCCAAAGCCTTTGAAATCATTAATACCGGTATTAATTAATTAAGAAGCTGCAATGAGACCTCTTGTAACCAGTAAAATCATATGACATTAAACAAAGAATGATAAAGTAGAGTACTGCTGTTTAATGGGTTAACAATATGGTAATAGTCATTCAAATGCTGAGTTTGATGAGTTATAATATATACACACAAATTAAGACCTAACCAGGAATGGTTGCAAAAAAGGCAACACCATATAGCTAGGTCCTCTGGCAGGAATTAAACCTGCAGCTCTGCAATTCCAGTGCAGCACTCTAATCAAATGAGCCACAGAGGCTGTAACATTCCAGCCTGGACTATAGAAATTTTATTAAGGACATATAGTAAATATTGCTTACTAAGAATTGGCACGAAAAATCCAACAGCTAGTAACAATAGAAGGTGTATTCTATTATTTTGTGGTCGATGCTTGATCCACACTTTCAAACTGCCATGAAAAGTGTTGAGGGAGAAAAACCTTGATTGCTGATTAGGAAAATACGATTCCTTCAGCACGAACAAGATATAAAATATTATAATGGTTATTAAAGTTAAAACGATTATATATGGAGCCATAAAACCAAGCTTCTCAATTAGAACACCACTGATTAGCTCTCCCGTTGCCCCTCCAACAAATGTCATCGATTCAAGTAGACCTATTCGTAACGTCCGATTACTTTTATCTTTTGTGATGTCTGCCATATAGGAAAACAAAGCCATTAAGATCGTACTAAACCCACCAAATATACCAGATAGTATATTGCCATACAATAGGTACACCGGTGATGCATCATAAAAGTGAACATTTAGTATACTTGATATAGCTTCAATTGCTAGCCCAATAAGAGGCAACAGTATGGCTACCTTCCGACCAAATTTATCTGACCATGAACCCAAAAGAAGCGACGAAATAATAGATGGAACAGAATAAGCAACAGAGTTGTAGAAAATCCATTCTGAACTTGATTTTTGAACGGCATTTTCCTGTTCACTCAGGCTCTTTCCACATGCTTTCCTTGTAAAGTTGTTTGCACAAAACGATTCGTTGTACAACTGTATGCACGTTTTACGGAAAATAAGCTGCTGGTTTACAGGATATTTAAGAAAAGTACATAGCATAAACACAAACAGCACTGGTTCTACAGTAACTTGGCGAAAAATTCGAAGAAAACGCGACATGCTTTTGTACCACTCTGACTTTTTTGCAAGTTGAACTTTTGAACGATGGAAAATTGTTGCCTGACAGCCTACGACTTAACGACTACCTTTCGATATTAGGGTGATTGATGGTTTTCGCCGTTTACGACAAAGTATATTCAAGAATTATTACTATTTTCATTGAATTGTGTTAAAAAAGGCACGAAGCAATAGTATTAAGCTTTTATCAAGCTTTTTCAATTTTTTTTTTAAGAAACCGTATTTTACGTTTAGCCCGCCTGATAATTTTAGGGTCAAATCCAATATGTCTGCCTATCAACAAGTTACTAGCGGCTAAATCGAGGAATGCACATTTACATGACGCCATCTTGAATTCATTATTAACTCGGGACATTTGTGGTTATCTTATGATAATAATGAATTAGTAAAATGGTTATCCATTAAAGTGCTCCTTTATCCCTTGTCTACATCCGTAGTTTATTTCTATTGTCAGCTGGGAGGTAAACACGCAATAAAAAGTTTTCTTTATTAAATTGACTAGAGATATTTACTATGAAAAGTTGCCGATTTTTATGGCGAATTCAATCGTGTTCTCCGATTTCCCATCTACTGTGTACACAAATTCCTATAGTAGGATAAAGACTCGAGTTTTAGAGTATTAAAGGGCGAATATCTCCGTTCAGTTTTTCAATAAAAAAGGAAAAATCGGGCTGTTTATACAGAATTTCATGCAGAATCGAAGGGTATTTTCGGAATTTCCATCTACCGTGCACACAACTATGTGCTTATTATAAGTAATAGCATGGCTTGAGGGAGATTAGTGATTAAATGGCCCCGTAACCCGAGGCAGGTTTGCGGAATTCCGCAAACCTGCCGAGGGTAAGGGGTCATTTAATCACTAATCTCCCGAAAAGCCATGCTATTAGTTTGTAATAGCATAGTTGCGCTCCCATTTAAAAATGGACAAACATGCCCTACTTGGAATCAGCGTATTTAAGCTAAAACATTTGCTTCATTGCTTGTGGGATGTAAAAGCTTGTTGCACATGCGCACTTTTTACGCTTTAATCGGTTACGCATGCGCAATCTATCATTTAACGTACCACAACAAACACGCTAAATATATTAGTATAAATTTGGAGACTGCACGTGCGTAATTTAAATGATGCGGCAACTCAGGGATCGGATGATAGACTATTGACGGCTCTGAGCTAACTGTTGCTGTTCCTTGCACGATTATGTGCGTGAGGCACTTGCCTAATGCGTAGTCGTCAGGGAGACAAAGGTGTGACCCTTGGTAACGGGCGATTAGTTCTAATCGCCCGCTCTAGCGGGCGATTAGAACTAATCGCCCGCTACAGCGGGCGATTAGTTAGTAATCGACCCTGTTGAAACAAAAGAAACCCGGGCAACTATGCTATTACTATACGAAAGTAAATTTGCGTGCCAGAGACTAAGTGTCGATTAATGCATACAAATCACTGTGAAAAATGTCGATACGCGAGATGTTGTTATTTTGTATTTTCGGCCGGTTTATTTTCCTTTATATGATATCAAAAGCTATATTAAATCATTATAATATGATTATTTATGATTTAAAAGCATTAAAAGTGTATTTATTGTCATTTTTGCTGCTGTAAACTAGCTTTATTATGACCATTTTTAATAGACTATTTATAAAGTGGCAATGAGCGAGCGACAATTATCCAATCAAAATCCACTATTTTAATTTTCCCGCGAATACGTTTGTTTTGATTACATCATTCATGGTTGATACTATGACATCATAACTGAGACCCAGGTCATTGCGCGGAATTCAAGATGGCGTCGGGCAAATGTGCATTCCTCGATTTAGCCGCATGTCAACAAGTTAAGAGCGGTAAACTAAAATTAAAAGGCAAAAAATCTTCGAAGAAACACAAAAGTAGGAAACGTAAGAGAGAAAATGATATGGACAAACCTGAAGACATGGACGCATTACGACACGGCGGCTGGTGGAAGTTAACTGGGCAGAACACGAATATATGAATATCTGCCCCCCTCCAATTATCGATATTCCGGCGCCTCTGTTGCTTACCATTGCTACCATTCACTCGGGTCAAGTGTCAACCTCGTTCCCAGGCTCTTTCCTCTTGTTTCACAAGAGGGAAGAGCCTGGGAACGAGGTTGGTCAGGTGTAGCCTTAAGCCTGGTTCACATATATGCCTGCGACGATGCCGGTGGTAGCTTAAAACGTAAATTATGTGAATATTTGTTCGCCGATTGCCTCCAGTGCCACAGTTACATCGGCGGTAGGCCGGGAAAGTTGACTTGAGTTCAACTTTGCCGGTATTTCGGCGGCAAGTAGAGGCATAATGATACAGTCGCAGGCATACCGCAGGCATATGTGAACCAGGCTTTACAGAGTTGTAGTTCTCAAACATATATAGAGGCCACGGACACTGGTAGTTACATTATGGGAGAGTTAAGAGACTCGGTTAATTCCCCAGCACCTGTAGAAGTGTTTACTGCTGTCAAAACCTCACAGAATAAAATTGCTTTGAAATCTGGCTATGGTACGTGATCACGTGATGGCTTGGGCAAAATTACCGTCGTAACCGTCGTTTACCTAAGAGTGGACAATATTGGGAGTTACTCCCAAGATTTCATATTTTCACGGATTTATATAAGTTGTCCATACTGTGGTAATGGTAAATGAAGCCATCCCTCTCGTTCATGTGAATTCCACTCGAAGGTTGTCCGGGCGGATTTGAAAAAAGACACGATTAGGTACAAGTTCTAAGAGGACTTCCGTGATTTTAGTTTTAACAATTGCGCGGATTGCGCGCGTCGTAATTGCGTTACTATGCCAACGTTTCTTATGCGTCATCGTTCGCGTGAACACGCAGATAATTGCGCGCGCGCGTGTTAGCCAAAGTTATAGGCAGTCTAGCAAATATTATCACAATAAATAGTTCATATTTTTACTTGTGTAACTCGTTATGTATGCAGATTGTCCAATAGTATGGTTACATCATAGCCGAACTTGTTCGCGCAAAGCGAAAACATGAATTCGGCAATGTGATTGGCTAGTGAAAAAATGCAAATGGTCACTTTTTAATGACGTAACCATGCGACTGGACAATCTGCATGAGCTAGACAAGTAAATCGCAGAATAGCAAAGTAATAAAATTACTCATTGCGAGAATAACAATAAATTTGTTGCAAATTGTCTATCAAGTTATTTGCAGTTCTATAGTAGTACAGTGCTCTGAGCAATCACTGCTATTGTCTACTTCATAAATATTTATGTTTCCTGGTTACGTTGTTATTACTTTTACCATTCCATTATTTAATAATTACTATATATGATATTTTGCTGTGTTGGTGTAATGTACTCAGGTGAATAAGATACTTGTGAGAGTAACATCACACAAGCAAATTAATATATATTCTTATTTTATATCTGTGATTTTTATAAATGTAAACTCAGATATGCGTTCGTAATGAATAAAGACTGTTACTATTAAATCTTTAATCTTTATTACTTTATCTTCGAGGCAACTATTAGACTAATTTCTCATTTGTTGAACCTTTAGGTTATATTTAGGCATCATATTATATATTACTTATCTCTACTAAGCAACATTCTCTTCTGAATCGATCAATGTATCGGCATCATTCACCTCCAAATGATCGTCTGGTGTCTTGATGCAAATGCGAAAGTATCTTTAATGGAATAAAAAATCACTAAATCTGACGCAAAACAACAAATTATACAAACAGAATGAATAAAAAGTTAAAATAGAGACAAGTTTGTCAATAATGTTATAATGAATGAATACTGAGTAAATTATCAGCATGCCTCATTTGCCAAAAAAAATAATCTGTGCAAATCTCATAGTGATATATACTTGAATTGAAATTGTACAAACTGGAATGGATCAGTTTCATCGGATATAGGGGAATTTTTGACAGGTATTTACACTGGCATTTCACAAATGATGAAAATGATGGCCAAATCAGGCCTATATTAACACAAAACATCCTGTGGCTCTGGTTTTTAATATATCCTAAAACAAAATTGGGTAGGCCGGTATATGCCTGAAAAAATTCACCTATGACAAAATGATGCACAGTAGGAGACGGGTGACTTACATCATCAAAGAAAGAGGCAAGAGTAGCAGGCAAGACATAACAATGAAACACAGTCCAGGCCAAGTGGAAACAGTCACTTTGTAAATATTGTTAAATATAGAAGATGCAACAAGCGTCCCAACTGATGATGCACTGGCTAACACCGCAAATAAACTTCCTGAAATAAAGAACATTTGTTAAAGTGTTACATACGACACAGTAAAATACTAAAGTGGGGCACATTGGGGTACAGTGCAACTTAATTGGTTACATGTAAGACAAACTAAGAAAGCTATTAGGGCAGGATCTAGCCAAATTGTACACCATTTGCAATTTGACTTCAGGATCCATGCATTCTCATCCGTAGACCCCCGTGGTTATCTTAATTCAATAATTGGCTACCTCCACAAAAATAGAATCTACAGCCATGAAATCATGGGCGTATGGGCCTAGTCTTTTTTTGGGAGGGGAACAGTACAGTTTGCCCGAATAGGCAAACAGAACATTAATATTTTCCCCCGAAATTGTTGGCGAGCGGGGGGAGGTCGACAAAAAAATTTTCCGGACATACCAAAAAAAAATTTCCGGATATATCCGAAATTTTTCCGTAACATCACGTAATTTTCGCAAAGATAAAAAAATTTTTTCAGAGCATATCAAAATTTTCCCGAAATTTTTATGTTTTGCCCGAATTTCGCATTAATTTTTGCCCGACCGTAAAAATTCGGGGGGGCACATGCTCCCCGGCCCATACGCCCATGCATGAAATGGCTAGCTGACTAACTGATTGACTAATTTTCCATAGAAGTGACTCAAACATACTAAGACAAACCTTGTTCATCACTGCCAACCAATTTGGACATGATTGCTCGAACAGCAGGAACAGGAATGCCACTGAATATGGCAGACGAAATTGCTAAAAACACAATAATTATGCTTAGAGTCAAATATTGAAAAATTATTTGAAAATTGCCCTGAATATTGTATGGTCAAGCAGGAGAGTAGCGAGTGATAAGAAATTGAACTTGTGCTGTGTACCGGTATCAATTTGAAAAAAATAGCTGCATCATTTTTCAACTAAAATTGCTATAGTGCTCTTCTTGAAACAAAGTAAGGGGAGATGAAGTGAATGGCCAACTAATATTTCCTCCATTGGGTCATTCCAGAATAAAGATCCACACTCCTCCCACAGAGAACATTTTTGCCATTTGGAGGGGAAGGGAAGAAAAATTGTTTTTGATGATAGTTATTAGTAAGTGTTGCTTGTGATGTTACTCTGAGTGTATATCCGTGCACCGGGCAAGCTTGAAAAATATGCCTGATCACGGTGGGATTCGAACCTACGACCTTTGGAATACTAGCCCAATGCTCTGCCATAGTACTACTGTAGATTCTGTTCCGAAATATCACATACTCGAACCGACCAGACCGCGTAGCTCAGTTGGCAGAGCATTGGGCTAGTATTCCAAAGGTCGTAGGTTAGACATAGACATTTTATTTGAACCCACTTATTACATTAATTTTACATTACATTAATTTTTTGACATGACATGGGTTCCGTCTGCCCGAAATAACCATTAAGGGGCTAGATGAATCAGGCAGACGTTTTACACACAACGCTTGACAAACAGATATAACGAAGCTTAAATTAATATATAAAGTAGTCAATTTACATAAATATTTTACTCAATTTAGCAGAACCACAGAGAGAAGCAAAACACCATATAATTATGAAATTATTATTAAAATTTAGAATGTTTTAGCAAAATCAATAATTAAAAATAATGAAAGCAATTCAACAATTCGATTCAACAATTCGATACATAAATGAACAGAGCAATAGGCTAATATGAATAAAAAAACATTTCCTTAAGTTTACTTTTTAGATTAAAAACTGACAATTTTTTATCGGCCTCATCAAGGGAATTCCATATCTTAACACCCTGGTATCTAATTGAATTTAACCTTAACACCCTGGTATCTAATTTGAATCCCAATGTGGTCAGGCATATTTTTCAAGCTTGCCCGGTGTGGATATACACTCAGAGTAATATCACAAGCATCATATTCACCTGAGTACATTACACCAACACAGAAAAATCATTATTAGTAAGTGTATTAGGACATGCGAAGGGGGTGGGGAGTTCACTTCCAATTTCCTCTGTGGGAATGGTATGGATGTTTTTTGGAATAACCCATTATTAGTATAACTCACCAAGAAAAGCTTGCCATGTATTTGTTGTGAATGCCATAAACACTGTGCTAGCAATGTTTGTGATGATACCAGCACAAACAATAGTTGTATCCGAGAGTTTTAAAATACGAGTCATGACTGGCATTCCAATTAAGACACCAACACCTTTGACAACCAAAAAAACTGCAAGAAAGTAACCAATCATAGAAGACGAAAAGCAGAACGGACGATGGAGGACAAACAAAATAAGGACATCATCTGTGCCAGTGAAAACTAAAAAGAAAACGTAGTAAACAATTTAATATAATTGTATTCTCATATTAAAAGTAAATAAGGTTTAATGACTCAAAGAAAGGAGCAGGGATTCCACTACCTAAAAAATACAAATAGAACTTTCATTTTACTCTTATTTTAAAATTTTCATTTTTCAGGTAGTTGAATCCCTACCCATCTACAGTTTCTAGGTGTTTTTGTCACTACCCATGCTGGTACAGACTGTTCGAGTTCAAATAACCCAAAGCCTTTGAAATCATTAAAATACCGGTATTAATTAAGAAGCCAATGAGAACTCTTGCAACCAGTAAAATCATATGACATTAAACAAAGAATGATGAAATAGAGTACTGTCTGTTGTTTAATGGGTTAACAAAGTGGTAATAGTCATCCAAATGGTGGGTTTGATGAAACACACAAATTAAGACCTAACCAGGAACAGTTGCAAAAAAGGCACTATATAGCTAGGTCCTCTGACAGGAATTGAACCTGCAGCTCTGTGATTCCAGACTGTGCAGCATTTCTAATCAAACAAGCTATAGAGGCTGTAACATTCCAGCCTAGACTATAGAAATTTTATTAAGGACATACAGTAAATATTGCTTAGGCCACATAAAAAAAATAGTTGGTTAGCATCCTTAGCTTTTGCCAAAAAGTGGGCGGGTGGGCGCTTTTTTTTTAATTTTTACTAATTTTTAACGCCTTGGCTTTAGGTCCGAAACTGGATTTTCTTGTGCATGCAGTACAGATATTTTTTTATATATTTCAAAATATGATTCATACCGTCATTTCATTGTCTACAGTCAACAGAAATACTACATGTATTAGAGCCCGTTGATCAATAAAAGTTGGGTTTTTAAAATAAAAAAATAAAAAAATCCTGAGCGGGGCCTTTTTTGTGGGCGGGAGAGGACGCTAACCAACTATTTTTTTATGTGGCCTTACTAAGAATTGGCACGAAAAATCCAACAGCTAGTAACAATAGAAGGTGTATTCTATTATTTTGTGGTCGATGCTTAATCCACACTTTCAAACTGCCATGAAAAGTGTCGAGGGAGAAAAACCTTGATTGCTGGTTAGGAAAATACGATTCCTTCAGCACAAACAAGATATAAAATATTATAATGGTTATTAAAGATAAAATTGTTATAAATGGAGCCATAAAACCAAGCTTCTCAATTAGAACACCACTGATTAGCTCTCCTGTTGCCCCTCCAACAAACGTCATCGATTCAAGTAGACCAATTCGTAATGTCCGATTACTTTTGTCTTTTGTGATGTCTGCCATATAGGAAAACAAAGCCATTAAGATCGTACTAAACCCACCAAATATACCAGATAGTATATTGCCATACAATAGGTACACTGGTGATGCATCATAAAAGTGAGCATTCAGTATGCTTGATATAGCTTCTATTGATAGCCCAATAAGAGGCAACAGTATGGCTACCTTCCGACCAAATTTATCTGACCATGAACCCAAAAGAAGCGACGAAATAATAGATGGAACAGAATAAGCAACAGAGTTGTAGAAAATCCATTCTGAACTTGATTTTTGAATGGCATTTTCCTGTTCACTCAGGCTCTTTCCACATGCTTTCCTTGTAAAGTTGTCTGCACAAAACGATTCGTTGTACAACTGTATGCACGTTTTACGGAAAATAAGCTGCTGGTTTACAGGATCTTTAAGAAAAGTACATAGCATAAACACAAACAGCACTGGTTCTACAGTAACTTGGCGAAAAATTCGAAGAAAACGCGACATGTTTTTCAAACAGTTTTTGTACCACCCTGACTTTGCTGCAAGTTGAACTTTTGAACGATGGAAAATTGTTGCCTGACAGCCTGTGACTACCTTTCGATATTAGGGTTGATTGATGGTTTTCGCCGTTTATGACAAAGCAGTATTCAAGAATCATTACTATTTTCATTGAATTGTGTTAAAAAAAGGCACGAAGCAATAGTATTAAGCTTTTATAAAACTTTTTCAATTTTTTTTTTGAAGAAACGGTATTTTACATTAGCCCGACAGCCTGATAATTTTAGGGTCAAATCCAATATGTCTGCCTATCAACAAGTTAAGAGCGGTAAACTAAAATTAAAAGGCGAAAAATCTTTGAAGAAACACAAAAGTAGGAAACGTAAGAGAGAAAATGATATGGACAAACCTGAAGACATGGACGCATTACGACACGGCGGCTGGTGGAAGTTAACTAGCTACCATTCGCTCGGGTCAAGTGTTGCCTTACAGAGCTGTAGTTCTCAAACATATATAGAGGCCACGGACACTGGTAGTTATATTATGGGAGAGTTAAGAGACTCGGTTAATTCCCCAGCACCTGTAGAAGTGTTTACTGCTGTCAAAACCTCACAGAATAAAATTGCTTTGAAATCTGGCTATGGTACGTGATGGCTTGGGCAAAATTACCGTCGTTTGCACCCAAGGGTGGTCAATCCCAAATTAAAACATCTATATTCACATTTTTGTCAAGAGCATTTCATGGGTTTTAATCTGATCTGCCAATCATGTTCAATTAACCTTGTACTCATTGGTTGAAATTATTGAAACCTCTAAATGCTCATTTTTAATTTATATACAAACTTTCAGCCTTTGTCATTCGCCTCAGTACTTGGCCTGCTTCGGTAAAAAAATCCACAATTTTGCCAATGCAAAAATCGGCCAGTTATAAGGAGTGGACATTGTAGTTTCACATGGGCAGATGAGCTGGATGGAAATCCTTAAAATTAAATTTTAAGACCAGGGACCATTTGGCTCACTGGGATATTTTCCAGTTGTGTCATTAATAAGAAATGAGTGTTGAATAAATGCATATTTAAATCATATATAGAGTGGTTAAAGTTGCTTTTCTTGTCTTGGTAAAGGCGGATCTCCACTAGACGATTTGCGAGACAATTGTCAAAACAGTTTGTGACGACACATGCGCAATTGAAAAAAATGTTCGAAGAATGATCGTTTAGCGATTGACTTCTACTATTTGTTGAGCGCCAGACGATCGCCAAATTTCCAACCAATAAGATTCCACGCTTTTTTCTTGCTAACGATCGTCATAAAAATCACCTCAAAAATTGTCTAGTGGAGATCCACCTTAAGAGACTGGAATTGACAGGGTGGTGTACCCCCAAATGAAAGCGAGTTTGTCCAAATTAGAAATCTTATGCTCAATCTGTATGTTAATAGGAAGATATTTGTCAGTCGATATTATGGGAGACATAAGTGGCACAGCTGAAGCTATTGGACAACAACAACAGATAGAACTTGTCTTTGAAGAAGATAAAGTAGCACTTCAAACATACAATGGATGTTTCATTTTAATCACTGACAAGGGAGAACTTAAAGCAACACAAAAAACTGCCACTGAGAATGCACAGTTCTATCTACGAACAGATGCAGCAAGATTGTAAGTATGGGGGAAATATGCAAAAAAATTGTTTTGTCTAGGGCAAACCCCTCTAATTTTAAGGGTAAACACTAAAAAATCTCACAACTTGTAGCAAGTTTGCCAACAAGTTGTGTTTGCATTGCTTGTCTCAAGTTGTCAACAAGTATGTAACAAGCTGTTAACAACTTGTAACAAGCTCGATGGCATTATAAGACTTGTTGCAAGGTTTTTCCAACAAGTCCGATACAGTCATCATATAACAAGAATGTTACAATCTGGTGTCATCAACCTTGTAATATTCTTGTTATGACTGCATCACAGTATCAGACTTGTTAAAACAAGCATGTAACAAGTCTGATAATATTCTATCAAGCTTGTTACAAGTTAACAGCTTGTTCCAAACTTGTTACAACAACTGCAACATACGATTTTGTATTCCTAGAATTTTTATAACAAATTTTCCTCCTCACTATTTTCAGCACGGAAGAAAAAAGCGTTTTACCAGAAGATGTCCAAGATATGAAAAGCTGTGAATTATCTTACGTGAAGAAATTTCAAAGTTTTCAAGACAGAAAATTACGAATTAATAGCGAAACCGTAGGTGATCTTAAAAAAGCTAAGAAACAAGGAAATATACGCGAGAAACTATTAGACAGACGAGAGAAAATGAAGGCTGATAGATATTGTAAATAGGTTGTAGATTTTTATTCTGGAAATAGGTATGCATATTCAGAAAAGTTGTCAAGCACCTGGATTAAACGTCAATGAATAGTGTTTAATAACGCAATTTCTACCATCACCCATTTTGCTAGGCTTGGGAGGTTTCTGGTACAGCCTGTTTTAGATCCTCGATATGGCCTGAATCACGTTGTTTGCAAGGATGTAGTCTGTCTTGTTGTAGACTGATTAGATTGACTTAACATCATAAATCTTTATGTATTCATAATAACATTAAACAACAGTAAGGCACTGTGTTGAAAAGGAGGATGAATTCCACTTCCAAGGTCAAGAACAACATAATGTAAGAGTAGAACTTAGCAGATGTTGAATGTTAAAATGATTACCTAATTATCATTCATAACAATTCTTCCATTGAACTTGAAATAAATTTATTTATCAAATATTCAAACTTACGGTGATGCTACGGTTAAGTAACTATTCTAAGGGCGCTTTCTATTTAATGACCAGACCGGTTAGACCAGAATTTCTGTCTCGGTATTAATGGTAAGATCTGGCCCACGTTTCTCAAAAATCTTGCGAAAATGTGTCTCCTTCTAATTTGATCCAAATTTTCCGGTCAGAAAGGTCCGAAGGCGAAGCCCAAACGTTTTCTGTTCCGTTCAACAATTTGACCGTTCTGGCCGAGTTAATGGAAAACGCCCTAAGTTACTTAATCAAGCTGTAGCTGTTATTATTTATTAATCTCCAAGGATGGAAAATTGTGTGACGTATTTTCAAATAACTTCCATTTATTTGACAATGCTTATTTACCTACTGGAAGTCATAAATTATTTGTACTGATGATAAATGGCCTCGTCCCGCCAAAGTTTCTCCAATACTGCATCATGGGAAGGATATCTCTCGCTGAATGACGTAATCATTCCAGCAGCACTCGCGGCATATTCACACAGGATGACATCATCACCTGAAATATATTACAATAATAACAATATCACGACATAATAATATAATAAGATGTCGCGCCTCTCATGTGCCGGACGCATTAAAAACAATAGATAATCAGCTGAAATGCCTCATTATCTATTGTTTGTAATGCATTCGGTACATGAGAAGCGCGACCTTTGAAACAGGCCTAAGCTCAGTTTTATATGGATGAGTGGAAAACATCTACTATCCTACCTTGTATATTTGTGTTTGCTTGAACCAACATTCGTCTGGGCTGTTTTTTGGCCAGGACAAGTTTACGCAACTCTAAGAATTTTTCATCAACGCTAGAATAACCATCGTACATCGTTTTACCTTGCTCGTAGTCCGCTGTTGATTTGTAAATCTAGAATTGGAAACTGGTCACTATGATTGATTGATATGCCAATTTTCGTGCTCATATTTTGCCACAAAACAAATTTCTTGAAATTTCTGACTTCAAGCAATCATAGCGCTTGATTGTTGGAGCTACCATTCCAAGGGACTGTTCATATGAGCCGGGCCATCCCGGCTGTGGCCGCGATGAATCGTGGCACGAATTTTGTTCCTGATCGTAAAAGATCGTTTGAATGAACTTTATATTCTTACTGGAATCAAACTAAGCTAATTCAACTTTGAAATCGCATTTTGGATGTTTGTCTAAGCCGTGATAAAAACTTTATTAAACCAATCATCCCGCTTAACCAGGTCAGCCTAGCTTCATATGAACAGCCCTGGAATTCTATTGTGTATACCTTCTGAGAACACAAGGACAAACCTGTAGTCTCTTGAGGAACATTCCAATGGCGTCTCTTCCAACTGTTTGTATTTTTTCTTTATCAAGTTTAATCAAAATATTTCCTTTACTATCCTCGTCCTCAGTTTTCTCTATAGTGACCAGACCTTCTCCGGCTTCCAGTAAGACTTGGAGGATCACGTATCTTGCTTGCATGTGTGCCTAAAACAGACGTCAAATAAGATCCCTGTTAAAAGGCTTAGTTCTAACATTGTCAAAATATATGACTGACTAGTGGATAACTATCTATCAGTTCTAAATTGTTCTCCCTCGAAGTCCAGTTACGGCTATCCTTTATTGATGAAGTGTTACTACACGAAGTAACATGAACTAACCTGAGGTAACCTACTTTGCCAAACAAGGGGGATGCAGATGGATATGGATTCAATTACCTGAAAAATACATAACCAAGGTTGAATCCATATTCAACTTCAAACCTTAGTTGAATCCATATTCATCTGCATTTCTCTCGCGTTTTTGATACTACCTACGCTGGCACAAACCGTTCCCAATTACAGGGAGCCGGTTTTACAAAGGGCTAGATAGCGCTATAGACTGGAAAACGATTTGGTTAAACTCTGGTATTTATAAATTAAAGTTTCTTTTTATCAATTGTGACGTCCACATCCGTAATTTTATATCTTTTCAATCATCTTTACAACGGTTGAATAATCACTATCCGGTGGACAGCGCTATCCGGCCTTCGTACAATCGACCCCTGTTTGGTAAACTACACAATAAAACTCTATTTTGAATCTATACTAGGTACATCAGGAACAGAAAAGTTAAGTATCCAACCTGCCGCCATTTTTTATTCTCGGGTGTGTAAAACTCAAGAGCAATCAAACCAGCTCGGACCATGTTTAGCCAGTTGATGTAACTAATGTTCTTTGCTTCTTCACCTTCATGACCAAATATACTGAAACATATTAGGAGAGGTTCAGACTTTGACTACCACTACCGTTACCATTAACCAATCAGATGCAATTAATCTACCCGATTAACCAATCAAATGCGTATTGCTGGGTTAGGTATGGAAATTGGTTATTGTATGGTTTGGTAGGGTGTGGTTTGGTATTATGGTGCGAGATGGTATGATGTGGAATACGTTGTAATATCTAAGGCATGGTATAGTATGGTATGGCATTGTATATATGTAGTATTAGTATGGTAAAGTCGGACAGTTAAGAGTGGTGAGGCATGATATGAAATGGTATGCCAAGGTATGGTAATGTATTAAGAAACAGTATGGTGTATTGGTGTGGCATAATATGGTATATGGTATGGCATGCATGGTATGGCATGCATGGTATGGCATGCATGGTATGGCATGCATGGTATGGCATGCATGGTATGGCATGCATGGTATGGTATGGTATGGTATAATAAAACCACAACTACCACCAAAACGAACAGTTCTTCCTAACTTTAGCAAGCCATTCAAAATACTGACCTTAACACTTTATTATTAAGACAAAGATACAAGCCAACACATTCTGCTCTGCATTCCTCGTACGTCGAAGCAATTTCTTGAAATATTATATCCCATGTTTCGCCAGGTTTATACCAGCTGTTCACCACAGTATCAGTGTCAGGTACGAGTGTCTTGTCATTAAAATTATATGTCCCGTCTTCATTCTGTCACGAATTCAGACAACAACGATATTTAAATTGCCCTTAACAACTACATCATATTAAGACAGACCTTTCGCAGAGCACGAGTGCCTGGATGTCATGTAGAACAGTGGAATTTTCAAAACGATGAAAAGACAATCATGGTACATTCTGATCACTGAATCGTGAAAACTTGTCAGGGTGAAAAGCTGCTACGCTGTACGACTCGGGTTTTACACAACCATTCAATAGTCCATTTTTTACAACATTTGCGCTGATATTATACAAACTATAGTTTTAGAAATACCGGATGGCTCTATCAGTTCTAAACTGTCCATCCTAGCTAAAGATCCAGTAATTGGTCCGTGTCTTATTAGTCCAGTGTTGAAAACCTGTGGTGTTTGGTAGAGTCAAACTGGAAACACTCATACGGCCAAGGCGAAATTATAATATCATATCGCCCTATATGTAAAGCAACCCAAGGCGAACTAGGATCCCGATTCGTAGATTCCGTATCCTACATTCCTTTATCTGGATTTGTTTTAAAAACTTACCAATTGGAAAAGTTTCCCACTACCATGTCCCAGTAACTCGTGTAAACCAACTTGGACTTCAAACGACGGCGCCTTTAACTTGCTATATAATTCCTACATACAATTATTATTTCTGTAAGAATTGTACCAGCTTTTTATTTCAAGCTTTTCTGTGCATGGAAACTATTTTGTTACTTGTTATTCTTACTTGATGTTCTTCAGCTATAAAAGTGACTTTCTCATTACTGCTGTGAGATGCTAGTACGTTGCCCAGGGAGACGTTTTTAAATCCTTCCCTTTGCCTGATATCATCATCTACAGGTATTGAAAACAATAACGAATGATTTTTATGCTAACGAAACTCAAAGCAGTGAACTAATTATTTGTACAAAGTTAGAAGAAATTATTTGTACAAGGACATTTATTACAAAATTCAAGGACTATCTAGACTGAACGGTTCTATGATATCTAAACTTGCGTTGCCGTTGGTTGTTAGAATCAAACTTACACTAAACTGATTTTATTTATACTGTTAGCTCTATCAGTTCTGTACAAGTCCAGCAAGGACCATCCCTCTAAATTGGCCCAGTCTATGCGGTCTTACTACAGACCGCTAGAAACCAGAGTACCGGATAGGGGTCTGTCGGAATCAAAATGGAACCACTCCCCTCACATAATAGTTCAAGCACTTTTTAAGCCCTGGAGAGTGGTTGGGTTAGTAAACGAAGATTCAAATGAGAGTTTTATCAACTATCGTAACATGATCGAACGAGAACAAGAGTTGCATGAGAGTTGACTGGATATTACCGCGCGTAATAGTCAAACAAGCAAAAACCCTTATCAGCCCTTATCAAAATGTTTACCATCTCAAAATTGATGATGGTTGATGAGTTGATGAAAGTTGGCGGTGAAACACGAGGGAGAGTCGCAACTCTAATTGACTCTCATGTATAGACCGATTTACACCATACAACTTTTGCCTAAAGGTGGTTTTCCACTAGGCGAAATTTTTCGACCGAACCGAAATTTCTATTGTTCAAATTCAAAAGATTTCTGTTTAGTTCCATCTGAGTGCTTGTAAGACAAAAGAAAATTTCGATTCGGTCGAAAAATTTCGCCTAGTGGAAAACCGCCTTAAAACTGTCCCATGCAACCGGCTACAACGTAAGCAAGTTGTGTGTTTGATTTACACAGTACAACTCAAGTTGTAAGCAGGTTGCATGCGACAGTTTTAGGCAAACGTTGTGTTAGTTTAAATCGACCTTATGTAATTTCATTCAACATACAATTAGGAATATTGATCCCCGCAGGCACACCGCTAGAACCAAAACCCAAGATATCCAGCGAAGTGAAATCTGGTCTCAGGAATTTATCTTTCTCGTATTCTTGTGGCCATGGCAACAGTGGTAGGAGATCTGTGGCTGTGTTGACCAAATTCGCAAACTTTTTACTCATTTCTTTATTGACCATCGCAACAAAACCTTTAATAAATATATACATGATTTTAAAGTGACGTCACAACTCTATAGTTGCAAAGACTGACATGACAAATTCACATTCAAATCAACTGGACCTCGTACCCAGGACCCCTAAATGACTATTACATGGCGACCAGCTAACGATCAAATCATACGGGTGTGAATTAAGGTTGCCAAATTAACAAAACCCGAAGTCCCCAACCCTAACACCGAGCCTTTTAGAGAGGGGGAGGAGAAGGGGAGGAGAGAGGGTTGCGCGGTCAACCTATTTCGTTCGTTGGTTAAATAACTAACAGATAATTTGAAGTATACGTTTAAAATCACAAAATATACCGTACCTTCAAATTCCCCGCGCACACCAAACGGATCACGGTAACTCTCTATGAAACCTATATAACTGACCAAAATATTTCACGTTCAAAATAATTCATGAGTATTTCAAGGAAGACTTATATGGTTATTGACTCGGGTATTTCGAGCACAAGATGTTACAGACTTGTTACCACTCGTTCCGTACAACCACCATTTATTAGCCGAAAAATAAATTCTACCTTTTTCTAATTCGACCGAATAATACGTCCGTCGTACCTTTCTATAACAGGACCTTTATCTCTGATCCAATGTCTTGAACCGTTCTTATGCGCGTCTATAGACCCCGTGTTGAAACAATGAATATAGTCTTTTAGCATCGCTGATTGATTGCTGTTCGCTGCATATTTCTAATAGAAAGAAACGTAACGAATTTTATATTAACGTAACGAAATTTATATTAGAGAGGTTCAGATTTGACTACCACGTTAATCGGGTACACGGCTAAAAACGCACAGGTTGTTGCAAGTTGATATCGACAGGCGTGAACAATGTTGTGCGGCGAACTGTGAACAAGTTGTCAACCATGTTGTTCCAAGTTGTTACAGTTGAACAATGCTGTAACATCATGTTAACAATACTGTTCATAGTGGGCCGCACAACCTTGTTCACGCCTGTCAATATCAACTTGCAACAAGTTGTTGATTTTCTCAGTTTTTACGCGTGTAGATTAAATGCATCTGATTGGTTAATCAGGTAGATTAAATGCATCTGATTGGTTAATCAGGTAGATTAAATGCATCTGATTGGTTAATGGAACGGTAGTGGTGGCGGAAATCAAAATCTGAACCACTCTATATATGGTAGTAATCTCGAAGCAGGACTTCAACAGTAAAGCCCAATTTCCACTAGGCGAATTTGTTCGCACGAACAGTAAAACAGTAGGAACTGATCCAATTTTTTCGTAGCGAATTTTTTCGCTGACCAATCACATTGCCAAGAGCTGTTTTCGCTTCGCGCGAACAAATTCGCCTAGTAGAAAATGGGCTTAACTCCAGACGAAGGGCCTTCGCTTGAAACGTCGAAATTCTCCTTATATTTTTCAGGTAGTTGCATTCCTACCAAAGAAGTTAGACGAAGGGCCTGAATACCAGCCATTGAGCTGAATGGGCTACCCTCTATACATAAAGTTTTTCCATTCCATTCACTCAAAACGTCGAGTTCTGCTTCTATTTTTCAGGTATAGTTGTATCTCTCTCAGTATCCGCAGCTGTCTTATTCACGATAGTAGTGCACAGGGCTCATTTAAGGATTCATCAGGGGGGTGGGTGCATCAAGGAAAAAGGACTTAACTACAAGGTGGTAAACTAGAAAAGTGCAAAGTTTTGGGGGGGGGGTGAGAGACCCTAGAAAATGTTCGTATTTTAAGCCTCTGGAGCTTGATTTCCTTCGGGAAAAAGCGTCGCACTAAGGAGCGCTATTTGTGAAGCACTTTGGTTTTCGTCATGGCAATGCCTGAAATGCCTTATCGGGCTTATCCATTTACCTCCGCTTCGGTTAAGTGTTGGACCATTTCCTTAAGAATGCCAGAATAATCACCACGCAGTACTTTTATGGTGTTTTTCTTAAACACATGTTCGCCAAGATAGGAAGGCACTGTGTCTTCCTGACCATCTGGACCTGGCAACGGCTCGGCTGGTGAGTGGAAAATACACCTGATATTAACTGTTAGTACAATAATCCCGATGAAATAAGCATAAGAACAAGGACAAATATGAGGGAAACATTAAGGCTACCTTTACACTGTACGGGGTAGTTTTCCGTAGCGACGTGAAAAAACCCCTATCCGTACCTTTTAGGAACGCTATTTTCAGAGGAATTAGGGACCGGTCATTATTTATGGTGGGGGGTGGCACCGAAGAGAAATGTTTTTCGTGGCAAAAATTTTGCTGACCCAACCATTAAAAAGTAAAAAAATTGATTACCCAACCTCAAATATCAAGTAAAAAATAAATACCCACCCCTGGCCAAAATTAAACTTTACAAAAGGTTACCATTCAGTTGTCACATATGTCCTTTACCCTATTTCTGTGACAGGAGTTTGATAACTGCTTGTGAAATTTGCTGCAGTCTAATGTATCATGTTGTCTGCACATGTGCTTACTTTGGAGACACCATTTGTCTTCTAACAAATTGGAAAATGATCAAGACGTACAGTGACTGATTGATTCACATATTGTATTGACATATGCATGACTATAACTTTTTATTACCCAACCCTTGAGTTGTTTTGTTTTTCATTTACCCAACCTTTTACTTACTCAAAATTTAGTTTACCCAACCTTTTTCTCTTCGGTGCCACCCCCCACCATAAATAATGACCCGTCCCTTATTGCAACGGAGAGATGTTGTTTCGCCCGGCTTCTGAGAAGAATACAAAAACGTGCGTTGCGAATCATCCTTCCATCGCAAAAGTATGACGAAGCGCTGATCACGACTAACATCACGTCGCTGAGAGATCGCCGAGAAAAATTATGCGAACATTTCTTTGAGAAGAATATTGACAATGAAAATCTCAAAGACCTTTTACCACAAACAATTTTATCTGGATATGATCTAAGACCGATATGTAAATATCATAATTATATTTGTAGAACTGAACGTTTTAAGAATTCGTTTTTACCTCAAAGTATATTAAAGATTAACAGTAAATAAGTTTTTAGAAATGTGAATAATCTTAAATATGTAATTATTATGTAATTTTAACCTCTCTTAATATATGTAATACTGGTGTAATTTAACCTTTTTGGGTTACAAAGTCAGTAATCATTAAATCAATTCAATTCATTTCAATTCAAGTTGTACTCTCCGTATCGGATGGGTGCTTTCTTGTGTCGGTACGGAAAGCGATACTGTATAGTGGAAACGTAGCCTAAAAGCAACTTACAAATGCGTTTAAATTGATGTTAATGCTTGTGCTTATTTCATGACAACTCACTGTTTAGCTTGAAGTTTTTGTGCTCCTGCTTTGGGCTAATGCTCATTTAACGCAGTTAACCAGTCCGCTCTCCCCGTTCACATTTACTATCGACAAATCGTAAGCAAGTGCTTCAATTCATCTCATTGAAAACACCTCACAATTGACCATTTGCGTAATAGACTAAATTTTGATCTCAACAAAAATTTCATTACAGCTTGAAAGAGCATCACAAAATTAGTAATATTCCAAAGTTTCGTTGCAAAATGTTGTAAAATGCGGAAAATATAGCCTTGCGAAATTTGCAATTTCAGTCATTTTAGATTACAAACCGGAAATTGACAGCCTCGAAGGGTTTGGGGCTGTCAATTTCCCGTTTGTAATCTAAAATGACTGAAAATTGCAAATTTCGCAAGGCTATATTTTCCGCATTTTACAACATTTTGCAACGAAACTTTGGAATATTACTAATTTTGTGATGCTCCTTCAAGCTGTGATGGAATATTTGTCTAGACTTGTTTAGTTCAAAATTTAGTCTATTACGCAAATGGTCAATTGAAAATTTCCTCCAGCGAGTTTACCTAGATGAAATATAAGCTCTGAGCGGGCCTAATTCATGAAACATTCGGATTGTTAATCTTCTTTCTATTTCTTGGATTTGAAGATTTTCTTGAGCATTTCTATGCATGCAAACAGCAGGAAATTTTGAGTTATGGTATTCATGCTTCAAACAAAATCTCAAACATCGTTAACCTGTTGTGGCTACAGACGCTAAACGTAACTGGTACTCTACATTTCCTTCTTTTTCCACTTTAAACAGCCGGGTATTGTACGGACTGATTTCCTATAGGGAAAGAAAATGAAATCGATCTTAAAATGAAAGTGAAGCAAATCACTTGTTATGACGAACAATACAAACAAGTTCGTACGAGTAGACAAACTATGCTGAGATTTCATGCTGAGATTTCTGTTTTCTTGTTCATACACATAAACAGATCATTCGTGAACAAGCCAGTAGAGCTTGCCAAAACATATCTGCATGATTGGTTAATGCATGGTAGTGGAAGACAAATCTGAACCTCTCTAGTATTTATATGCTCAGACAAATTATCATCAGACGTGGCTCTACTCTAGTATGACGACTCGGACCATTCGTCTCTCTAGTATAAATGTTGTCAAAACCTTTTCTTTCATAAAATCTTGAACCAGTACAACATCATCGCGTGTGCAGTTGCTGGAGTAATATGTCGATAATCCCTACAGGTAAAGAGAACTTTATTGGAAATATAAGAACAAGAATAGAATCACTGAACCGTAACAGAAAACACGTCCAGAACTCATTCGGTTTGTGTTCCAATTACGTTCCCACTGTTCGTTCTAAATAGCGTTCCAATTGAACTGGGACGCATTCCAGACGCATTTGGAACGCAGTCACAGTATTAATCCCTGGTCAAACGAAAATGAGGGTTGATGAGAGTTAAAAAGCAAGCATTCGCATTAGAGTTTTCTGACTTTTCTCAACTCTCATGCCCCGATGAAATGAGAACAAGAGTTGTATGAGAGTTAATGGAGTTGACTGGATATTATTGCGCACGTATAGCGAAAGCTCTCATCAAAATTTGAACCAGCTCAAAGTTGATAGGAGTGCATAGGAATTGATGAGAGTTGACAGGCGAGCACAAGCAAAAATTGCAACCAGGGGTATGACAACAAGCAAGTGGGGGAGTCATCTATTTGTAGGGTCTGCAAAACGCTATTTCAGACAGACACGTTTTTTGATAATCTGAAAGCCACAGATTTGGTATATTTTATGTCATGGATGAAAACATTAAGAGGTTTCTCCTTAGTTTTGAAAGAATTACAAAATTGTTCCTGGTGAAAAGGGGGGGGGGGGCAGGTCCGGATGCCCCATCCCATTGCTATGCCTCTGGTTGCAACCCTCATCAACTCTCATCCTGGTTTGACCAAGGTTTTCGGTGATTCCTGAGTAGTACGTTGGGTACATACTGTATTTTCTTATTTTCTGACCTGTTCCTCAAGTCCAAGTTGTGTCCGTCTGTTACTCAAGTTATAAAGATCATCAAGCACTGATGTACAAAGGTTTTCAATAATTTCTTTTTCCTTTTTATAAGCAACACTGCATGTTATGGCATCCTTGAATCTTTCCTGAATAATTTACAAAGAATAACAGAAAATGCCATCATGTTTTGGATCCAACAATTGCTAGTTCCAGCATGCCAATACATTAAGAGAGGGGCAAAATAATTTTATAAAATACCATCAAAGGTAAAACTACATAAAAATAGGTACACCATGTGTACACAAATCAGTAACAGTACTATAATCAACCGTTAGACTAACTGTTCATGTAATGATCACTGGCATTCAGTGGGTTAATCATTCAGTCAATTATTAAGTATGTACCTTTGCCAATCCTGGAATAAATTTTGTATCTCCAAATGATTTATAATTTCCCATGTTACCAAAGAAACTAGCCACAAAAACAATCAAACTCTGAAATTCAATCAATAATATCAAGATTATTAGAATACACATGTATTTCCATAAATACTACTTCAAGTGTTTTTAATTATTTTCAGGCAGTTCTAACCAAAATCACAACAGCCTATTACACTGGACCCCCAAGGTACAATGTTTTGCATACTTACATACCAGAGGTACACCAATATTACAGTCTAGTACTTCTTGTTTTCTGCCAAGTATCATGTAGGTATAAAGTATAAGCTACTATAGACATAATAAGTATCCTAATTTGCAAGGATGGATCCAGCATATGATCTGGTAGAGGAGGTGCTCTGCCAGCTCTGGTGCAGAGTTGTTTTGATCATGTGTGCCACCCGCCCATCAACTTGCTTGACTACTGTAAAGTCTTGCTTGACTACTGTATTTGAATTGTAATTGTTGTTCAAAGTTTGCTTGTCATCATGTTATTCCTCAAATTACTGTATCTCATTTTGTCTCTAATATTTTTTGCTTATCATAAAATACCCCCCCCCCCCCCAGTAAATCCATCCCTGCTAATTTGCAAGCTTTTCTCCAAATTAAATTCTTTACTACCTACACTGGCACCTAACTGCCCCAACATTCAATAAGTAGCCCAGGCAATTCACAAGAGAGCCACTTTAATAACTCCTAACTTGCTCACTGATTCAATAGAGAGTTTAAGCAAGTGGTGTTTTGGCAACAAAGACAACACCGGAAGTCAATCGAGCCATTACAGATGGCGCGTGATCACATCAGCAGTTCTTGCTTAAAATCAAGAAAATGCTAGTCAATGAAGTTTCACATTGTGATTTCAACGAAAGACAGTTGTCGCCATCACTCATAACAGCTCATCACATCATTCTATAACAGCTCACTTGATTTCTGGTTGGCATCTGTTGTCAAAAACATCACTTGCTTAAGCTCCCTAATGTCAAGGTCACATGACTCACAGTCACATGACAACAGTAGCATACCTTTATTTCATTGTCGGACAAACCACTCTCTCCTTGCTGAGCGGCTGCACAAAAACTTTCGACACTTTCGGCAGAGAAAATTTTTTGAAAGAGAAGAAAAATCCCTGGCGACTCCGGCGATGTTTGCAGGAGACATATCTGAGCACCTTGCCAAGACGCCCGGCATAAATAATGTGCATATAACTTTTCTTGGCAGTTAAGCCTGCAAATGCCTTTTTACATTCTAAGAAATTGAATGGAACTTCGTTTGGTATTAGAAATTGTGATATATCAGTTGTGTTTGCCATTTTTGACACACAGTAACAATATTCAGAGAAGTTTAAATTCACAGAATAGGTACAGGTACTTTTAAGATCATTCACAATCATAAATGTTTCCACTTACCCAAAATTAAATTTCTATTCGTGATATATTTTGAATATATTTTGTACAAAATACAAATTTGTACAATATTAAAAAGTGAAAAACTATCTTCCAGATTAAAATTCACCTTTTATCACAAATCTTCTTCTCCTTGCGCAGTTGGCATAATACTCATATGCTGGATAAAAAATGACTACGAATACTGTTCGAGGAAATTACGCCTGTCATTTTAATGTATGGAAAGTAGTCCAAAAACTGCTGACCCTTTATTCTGTGCTGCTGACTAAGCAGTTTTCAATCAAACATGGCGGCCGGTCCAACAGTTGTATTGCTATTTAGCGGCAAAAGAAAGTCTGGTAAAGACTATGTAGTTACAAAATTAGCAGAAGTGCTAGGAGATATGAATTGCGAAGTGTTAAGGCTTTCCGGTCCCTTAAAGAAACAGTACGCAGTTGAACATAACTTGGATTTCGAGAAGCTACTAGACTCATCTTGCTACAAAGAGCAGTTCCGAAGTTCGATGATTTCTTGGGGGGAGGCGAAGAGACGAGAAGATCCCGATTTCTTTTGTAAACTAGCGACAAAAGAAGCAAGCAGGCCTATCTGGATTATCTCAGATGTACGCCGAAAGACAGATCTTTCATATTTTACTGCTAGGTATAAAACTACTCACGTACGAGTGACGGCCAGCGAGGAAACGCGAGCTACGCGAGGCTGGAGTTTTGTGAGCGGTGTAGATGACGCGGAATCTGAATGCGGAATGGATAACGAGAGTTTTGACATTGTTGTGGACAATGACGGTGATACAGAGATATTGCAAAAGACGTTGGAAAAGTTGAAGCAGATTGCACAAACTAAACTGAATAAGTCAGAATAAGTAAATAGTCAGAATTAATAAAAATATGTGATGAACAAAGTCAATTTCTAAATTGTAACACACGACTTTCTCAAAATATTATATTTATATAATTAAAGTACTAAATTTGTATCTGATGTTTCATGACTTTGCATTCAATATAATTTGCGAAAGGAAGTGGACAAGTGGTGCAAGGCTGTACCAGGCTTCTACTTCAACCTGCTCCATTTACTGTTCGAAGTACTCCGGATTTTCGGAACACTAATGGAATGGAACAGAAGACAGTTACATGACTGTTCTGACTACCCCGATTTTCGAGTAGGGGCAAGCCAGAACAGACACGTGACACTGCCTATTTTCACGTGATTGGAATGGAGGCGACAGTTCTTGTGTATCCAATGCACACTGCATAGAATGCATAGAGCGTTATTTTGAAGGGTTAACCGCTATATATCGACATATACTTATTATATGCTATTTGAACGCCAGGGTTGAGCAAAATCAACGACTAAAAACGTTGCAAATAACAGCAAATCATTATACGCTTTATTATGCGAATAACTAATTAAAAGTAGTAATGCATGTTTCCACGCATATATAATAAACTAAACACTGCTCAGGCACAACACCGTGTGCACTCCATTTTATATCGTTCCAGAACAGTGTTCTGCCTCTGACACCGGCAGACAATTTCGCGAAATAAGATGAAACATACTCCAAACACTGTTTATAGTACTCGGAGTATGTTTAAACAAGATAACAAAATTCAATTTTAAACAAGATAACAAAATTCAATGTAATATATCGACTTTACTTCAATAAAATAAAGCGACTGCTACACACATAAAACTGTCACAACTTGTCAACAAGATGTGTTCGCAACAGGCTTGTAGCAAGCTTGTCAACAAGTTGTGACAATGCTGTTATTTTATCAAGTTGCTACAAGGTTGTCTCTCACAACCTGTTGACAAGTTGTTGAATTGCAGGACGATAACAAGTTGTTGGAACAACTTGTAACAAGTCTGTTGAGCTCAACATCTTGTAGCAATTAGTTGTCAAGAAGCCGTTGAGAACTTGTCAACAAGCTGGGAATAAGCAGTGCGAACACATTCTGTTGACAAGTTGTTGGAACAGCATTGCTACAACTCTGCTGCAGGTTTGTCACAACTTGTGCGTTTTCACGTGTGTACGCAGGCTAGTCTCTCATTGACTCAACGGCTGATAACTGAACTAATAGCAGCGTTTCCAATAGTTCCGCGCCAAACAGCCAAACTTTATAACATAACTTTTTGCAGGTCGGCATAGCGATTTTTAACTATGGATAACCAGATGCCGGCGCGCATTGATAAATAACGTGTATTGATGTATTAGTATGTGTTTCTATACGCGCATTGAAAAAGGCGTTAAATAATTAAATTAAACACGTGACTTCTGGCGAATAATTTGCATTTTTTGTTCATAGTATTATTAGTGCAAAATATTGTGTTTTAAGATAGTGTTAAATTTGTTATAGGTTATAGTTACAATTTTCTAAATTAAGTAACTTAGTCAAGCGCAGCTCTAAATATTTAACGATACCGCGGTCCGGGGGTCTTCGATGTCAGCGCGTTCGGGTGCGTTGATTGGCTAAAATTGGGAGGTTTTTTCTTAATAATTCTTCAAGGCAATAATTGTGCGTGGGAAAGCCACAGGATAGCTGAGCAGCAACGCAATTCAGTCAAGTCAAGTTCAACGGGAAATAAACTTTCACATCAATAACAAGGGTGGGTAGTAGCGAAGTAGTTGTAGTTCGCTACTGTAGCGAACTACAATTTTCAAGTAGCCAGTAGTTTTTGACTACTTTTTCAATAGCTGTAGTTATAGCGAACTACATTTTGCCTAAAAGTAGCCAAGTAGTTGACTACTTTTCAAACAGCAAATCGCTATTCGCTACTTTTTAAAATTGTTAGCAACTTGATAGAATAGAATGTTATTAAGACACAGTTTGCTTAAAATCAATACTCAATTTGCACGAATAAAGTATGCCGTGCAACTGTTCAAACTGTGCAAGTGCATGCCGTCTTATTTACTCGCGTAAAGCCCGTTCTCCACTAGGCGAATTTATTCGCGCGAACAGATAAAAAGTAGGAAGCGATCCTACTTTTTCGCCGCGAATTTTTTCGCCGACCAATCACGTTGCCGGATTTCGGTTTTCGCTTCGCGTCGCGCGAACAAATTCGCGTAGTGGAGAACGGGCTTAAGTCGATTTGTTATAGGTTACATTACAGCCTGAGCTATAGTAGATGTTCCATATACAGTAAAATTAAAAAATATTGAGTAGCGAAATAGTTCGCTACCACTTTTAAACAGTAGCTGTAGTCAGTAGCGAACTACTACATATTTTTGAAGTAGCTGTAGTTATAGCGAACTACAAAAAAATTGTAGTCAACCCACCCTTGGAATAAGAATATCAGTTTCGGATTGATAGGAATGCAACCACCTGAAAATACAAGGAGAAATTCGACGTTTCGAGCGAAGGAACTAGTCGCTACTAATTTCCCGACGAGGGCCTTCGCTCGAAACGTCGAAGTTCTCCTTGTATTTTTCAGGTAGTTGTATCCCTATCAATCCAAAGTGTTCTTATCGGGCTGGTTGTGACGTTACGCTGTTTTAAAACAAATCCACCTGACTGCAGTGCCAAAGTAGTATTTTCGCCATCTAAGCGCCGGCGTTTTAATAAATTGCGTGTTTAATAAATTGCGTGTTATTCAATGTTCTGTCAAATTATTCGAGCTTCGATAACATCATTCTAAGTTTTCATTATAGAAAACTTGAATGTTTTAAAGTAAAAACAATTTCGCTTGTCAGTGAAAGCGCTCGCAGTAGGAAGAAAACTAAGTAGTATTTGGTCTCATATTTTTCTCTAATTCATTTTTTTAGCCCTTTTCAAGATGTATTTTGAAAGAAACGTCGTTACTTCGGTGCTTGTCGTTTTAGCCGTCTCCTTCCAAACAGGTAAGAAAATTTCATATTTGCAAAAAGAATAATTTAAGCTAGCCATGGGCATGGCAACAGTTCATGCTGTGAAAATTTTTTGCGGCCGAGAGGTCCTGGGTACGAGTTTGTAATCTTTAACAGGCCCCGGAACTTTTTTCTCCTGCTTTTCAGGAATTTTTTGTTATATTTTGTAGCTAGTTATTTTTGTTATAACTTACAAATAAAATGTTCG